CTGGCCCAGAACTTCCATGTAGCTGTCTAACATTAAAGCAGAAAATGGTGGCAGAACATGTGTTATGTACATTGTGTTCACTTAAGAACAGAGTCAAACATCTAAGTTGACATCAAGGTCAGGCGAGCTCTTGACATGGGACCTCGGGGCCCTATCTCAGAGCAGGAAACCTGGGATTCCACATATTTACAAGAATAGAAATGACATTTGCTTGTTTAGTGAGTACTCTGTCTACCAGACTCTTCAAATCTAGGACTATTTCATGCAATGCTTTCTGGAGCCTAGCATTACTCGTGACCTGTGTAGATGTTTTCTGAATTGAAATAAACTTGAATTGAGAACTGACAAAATAATAATTTGTCCAGTCTCCCTTCCTTAGACCTTTCTCTCTGTCTCATTTTCTCTTTCCTCCCTGTAAGGGCACAATTAATAATTCAGCAGAGAATAGTGCATTCCAGTGGTTAAGAATATAACAATTTAATTTATATTTGTTCCTGCAGTTGCACAACAATATCTCAGTTTCCCAGGAGGGCAATTTTCCATGGCCATTCCAGTCTTCTCACAATAAAACAGATCAATACTGGGGAAATGTGGAGCCCCCTTTGTTAAGAAAGAAAAATAGTGATTAATGCATTTGTAACAGACACAATACTATGATCGTCATATTTTAAACACTGACATTTATTTAGGGTTTTTGTGGACTCATACATTGTTAGGATAAATTCTAATTTATATCAGTATATAATAAGCAAATATATAATACAATAAATTGCATTTATACACATAAATACAAAATTTGAGGTAGGGCCTCAAGAATAATGACCTCTTAAATGAATAATGCATAGTATATAATATGTACTCTATAAGATATATATGTATATATGATGCATCATTTGTAACATAATATATTTTCTTCATGTACAGTTAATGAAAAAATATAAGGACTTGATTGGGGAACATATCTTTTTTTCATGGGCAACAGTACCCACATAAGATGCTTGCATTGCTGATATTATCCATACGCAATTTAAGAATTAACCTATTACTTGATAGGTCTATAATAAAGTGCAAAAACCGACCAACAAATGAGAGGCAAACAGCTCCTAGTCTGTTACTAAGTATCACTCTAACAAAACACCCCAAAGGCAAATAGTTGCCTCATCTACAACAGGCAAATCAAACTACTGCTTGCTTTTCAGAGGTGAAAAACATCCAATCAAAAGCACTTTCTCTTTGGCAGCAGGCTGTTGTGAGATGACCTGAGCAGAGATCACATTTGACAATTCCTTGGCCTCTCCAGATCAGAAACAAAACCTGGGAAAGACAGGAAGCTTCACTTTGGGAAATCTCAGGGCCACTCCAGGGAAATGAGAATCAAGGCCCAAATCACCTGCCTTTCCTCCCAGCCTGGAAATTTTCTGGATGATACCCAGTATAAAACAGGAAATGCTCATTTGTTGGCCTTGGCCTGTGTCCCTGAAAGGCAACCTGCTATGTAAAACACTTCCATTCAGGTCATCTGCCTCAAAACAAAAACACTTTGCAAATCCTACCCAGGTGCTCCAGGAGCAGTCTGTTCCTGCCAACACACATCCAACTAGCAATAGTTACATGCCAGCCTCTGGGAACAGTGAGGAAAGAAAAATCTGAATTTAAAGCATGGAAAAACCATGCTGACAGGAGATGGTAAACCAGGAGCACTGAGGCACATGGAGATCAATAGAAGACATACTGAAATGAAAACTCAAGTGCCATCACATAAGACATTGGCATAAAGACAACCCAAATCTTACCCAATTAAAGATCATCACGTTAAACTCTTTTTGTTTAAAGTGCTGCTCACTGAAATACAAGTTGATTCCATTTCTGATGTCTTAGAAACACATTGGAAATTGCAAAGACATTGAGGTCATCAAGATTTTTCATTGACCACAGATATCATGCAATAAATAAATATACAGGAGAAAGAACGACTACAAAAATACCAGCACTGGACACATTTGTACACAACAAACACAGCCCTAAAAAAAAAAAAAGAGTAAAAGTTACTAATGTGCAAGACAAACATTTGCGTAAGAAGCCACAACATCAATAGTTAAGAAATATACTTTTTTTTTCTCCATTAAGGATATTTCAGGGTAACTGTTTTTCACATATGGCTTGTTTTTCTCTGAATGGGTTCTGGCATTTGTTGATGGAATGAAATAATATCACTAGTGGAAACTACCACATCATGCTTCACAGCAAACCAATGAAAGCCTTTTCTAAGTAACTCAGTTGTTGTTGTTGCTGTTGTTTTTTCTCTTCAGTTTGAAGGGCAGCTCTCAGGTGGCAGTATACTACAGTGTTATTTATTTTATTTGCATTCATTCAGTTTTTTTTCTTCCAATTGACTGTGCGGAAACAAACCATCTGGCGGTATACAACTCAGCTCTCAGCATCCCAGCCAAATACACAGGAGGTGCAACACTGGAGATACACCAGATACTGAAAACAGCTCCCACACCAAACACTTCCCTGCCAGCGAAAGCCTTGAAGGTGAACAGGGCTCTAAAACCCAACACAATCAGATTTAAAAGGTAAGCATTTCTGGAGTAAGTTCAGAACTTTTAACCTGAGCCTCTTCCTTCAAGTAGATTTTATATTCAACTTGAAAATTGCAAGGAAAAATAAATTTTAATTTTTTTTAAAAAACACAACTTAAAAAAAAAGTCCAGCTATTGAAGAGGCTGCTACTGGTTCTTATCTAAGGTCTTACAAACCCTAATAAACACAGCATAGCCAGTCCCAAATAGAAAGTACACTAGCTAAGGAGGAAGACTCAATCCTTACAATTAAGTCACTTTTCAATTTATATCTGGCAACATCAATGGGGCTACTCCCCCTTCTTTTAATCGGGGCAGCAGTAATTTGCAGAAATTGGTTTGGCTTCCAGCCTCAGACTCAGTTTTAGCCAAGTGGTGAGAGGAAAGCCAAAACCTGTGCATCTTGACACAAACATACCAACCCCATGAAAGAATGCTAATAAGTTTAAGCACTTTTCTTCAAACTTCAAATTGGAAAGGAGCTACAGATAATTTCCAAGCCTATCTTATTTCTATACAGTCAACTCACTTCCCCAGCTACTGATTGGAAAGGCTAATTTCTGGTGCCACCTTGTGTCATCTGGTACAGGAAGAGGGGCTTCTCAGAAACATGGCTTTCTTAGGGAAACAAGTGCTGAGGACAGACAAAACACAGTGGCTAACAGTGGACAGGTGAGACCATGGCTCTGGTTCCTGACGTTAAGTTTCAGGGAGGCTCCAGGTTTAGTCTCTGTGAGAGAGCCCAACAAGGCCTACCTCAGGGAGATAGAGGGAAAGGAAAAGAAGGAAGAGAGAAAAACACACACTGTTGATGAAAGACATGAAACCTACAGCTCAGATCCCATCTTTCTTTCCTTTCCTAAAACCTTTCCCTCCCCCCCTCCCCAACAGGCTATTTTGGGAAGCTGGAAGTTCATAAATCGTTGGCAAATGATGATGATATTTGCCCTAGAAATGGAAGAACTTGGTAAAATGAGTTGAGATACTTTTATACAAATGAAGTTATCATTCTTAAAATGTTACATTAAAATCTGCTGTTGAGGATGAAAATGTCACATCAATACACAAGATTTGAACTAAAACACTTTGCCTGAGACCCTGTAATATGAAGAAAATGATTGAAATGGTCTCCTATGGAGGGAACAATTTTAGGTTTAGATATTAATACTGTGGGTAGGGGGGGAGAGCTCAGACTATACTATGCTAAATGCACCATCTCTATAATGATTCCTAAGATATTTATAAGGACAGAAAACACCACTATAAGTACACACTACATGAGCACATTTTAAAAATCTCATATATGCATGTTCAGGATACAAGAAGATTATAAAGGTTACGGCTTCACCAATCTCAGCCAACACATGATTTGCTCTCATTAGAGTACAGTTACAATAAGCACTGTGCATAGGGAACTCTGGAATTGAATTGGCTAAATGTCGTCTTAAAAGCTATAGTCTTAATTGGCTCACTCACTACTTACCTAAGCTGTATTTATCAGATATTTCTGTAAATACAGTGGTCTAAGATGTACTACCAGAGTGGTAAATATCATGATTGCTTTCTACTACATCCTGTATTTCTTCAATTTCTCTATGATCACAATTGGAATTTACTGTGAATGAAAAAGAGTAAAAATTGTGAAAGGGTCCTTTAAAGGTTTGCATCATATATATATTAGATAGAATCAGGTTAAGTCTTGCTTTTCCCAGAGGTTGAAAGACAAGGTATCTTCAGCTTTCAGAAAGACATTTAAAGAAGAAGAAACAAAGCATCATGACATTGGACCACTCTGCTTTGAGGCTAGAGCTCGGCTATGAGCATAAAAAAGAAAAATCAGGCACAAAATATAGGAGGACTTCTTGTGTAGAGGTGTAAGAAATAATCAACCAAAGTCACAAATGTGGTTGTTTTAACAATACTACTGCTAATAATAATAATAATAAAAGATGACTTGAGGGAAGAGAATGGACACTTCACCCAGACGCACAGTGGATAGACAGTGAAATATCCCAGTTTGTAGTACACTTGGTCCAAATGAAGGAAACAGATACCCAATTGTGACATCAAATACAAAGTTCACCACTTTAATAGTGTCCAAATCTACCAGCCTTATCTTATATCCAAACAATTGGTCCTTCTAAATGTACAACTTAAACTTCTCTCTTCTGAATAAAATCACTACATTTCTCAGCTCAGCTCTAAAAGACTGATGAATCCAAATAAACAGTCCTGGAAATCTACCATTCTCTGCATGCCCTACTGGCTTCCTCCAATGACAACACACAGTAGGCACTTCTCTATTGACCAAACCAAACAGAGCTCACCCAGTCAACCCAGCCTCCTAGGATAAAGCAAGTGCTCAAAGGAGCAACCCTTCCAGAAAGTGACACCATGGGCTCAGGCAAGAAGTTCTTCCAGTGGTCTGTATGCGTCTCACTATAGCATGCGACACTATGGCCTATTTTCTATGTAACACTCTCATGCATGGCTGTGAACCAACATGTTTGGAGAAAGAAGAAAACCGGGACTAAAACTTGGGAAAATCTCAAGGGTCGGAAGAGAGTTAAAACAAAATGAAGTCTGGACTATCCTATACCATGGGACTAACACTGGGTACCCAGTTCTAAATCCTTTACTGGCAGTTTGAGTCCCAGGGAAGAAGTTCCCAAGGGGTCAATCATATTCTTGTAACGCTCTCCACGGTGTTGAGCTAAGAACGGGCCCCAGTCTGGCTGTGGAGAACACACCAACTTCAGCCTCTGCAAAAACAAAATGTTAGAGACACACATGATTATGGAAGTAGTCTATCTTTTGTCCCTAGGAACCACCTACCCCTCCCCATACTGCTTAGGACCACTTCTCCAGAGCATTTGTTGAAGCCAAGAGCCCCCAACCTCACCTCTACAAGAGAGGCAGTTAGGAAGATTAGTTCCTATTAATTAATTAAACAAAGGACAACAGAAAGAGATTCACTTTGGTTCACTTGAAATTATTTATATCACCCAGCAAGGCGATATTGCAATTACTCCATGTTTGCCTTGCACAAGATTAATCGAGGATAAAAGGCCCAGATTTTAATTACACATTTTCCCCCCTCCAAATGAGCAGAATCTGTGAGAGTCTGTCTCTGCTGCTAAACCCAGTCAGCAAAAGACATGGGCTCAATGACTTTTGCTCTATAATCTCCATAGTGAATTGCTTCATCAAAATAATTGGGTTTTGTTTAGTATTTTTCCCAGAAGTGTATAATAAATAAATATAAATAAATGACCAGAGGGGAGCAACATGAAACCTGAAGAGTCATTGCTAGGAACAACTGAAAATTATAATTATCGGTTGAAAAACTATATATTCCTGGGGGGAGGGGGAGGGGGAGGGGGAGATGAGAAGGGATGGGAAGTAGAAACAAAGGAGGAGGCTACAATGCTTGATAAGAAATGTACTCATTTTCTTGCCCATGTAATTGCAACCCCTCTGTACAGTATTTTCACAATAAAAAAAACAGATGAAAAAATATATATTCCTAACTTGGTTTAGCAGTGTGAGTTTGTGCAAGTGAGCTAAAAGTAATATGGGTGTCTCTACCCTTTAAACTGAATTTTTTATGGAAACCAATGTTTGACTGGAATCCTTTCCAGGAAAAAAAAGAAAGCATATTTCTGAATATATAAGAGGGAATAATTATATGTTTATTACCTATTACAGTGAAGCTGGTTCTTTTAGCTGTTGGTTTAATCTCCCCTTAATTATCAGCTTGCTGCCTTTGTGTCCCGAATCAGCCATAATAAATTTATATGGCTGACTCATCAGCTTGGAGAATTTCCTAAGACAACAGTAGCAGAAGATCCACCAGGATCTGTTTGAGGAAAGCTTTTCTAGGTCTGTTGGTGGAAAAGTTGATCTGAAGCAAGAGAAAGCTCTTCCTCCTGCCCCACGGCTGGACATGAATGCATGGGACCACAGTTAATTCACCTCAAAAGGATACCTAACAGCATTTTCCATGTAAACACACCAGGACACTGATTCAATACAAAGGCTCCTAGGCCTAAACTGCCCAGCTCCATGCCCATCTGTAGATGGACACTTGTGTGGTAGACTATGACCTTATTCCCATACTATTTCTTCCCTGCAGAGCCTCCTCATTTTATCAATCTGGCTGCCCATGAGCTAGCCCATAGAGCTGTTTTCCACCCTCTGTTGGCAGATATTTCTATGTCTTGATCTCATCCAGTGCGTCTCAAATTTGAATATGCCTGTGAATCACTTGGAGGAGATGTGCAGCCTTCTCTTCCCAGAGATCCTAGTTTGAGAAAGCTTCTTGGAGTCTAAGCATCTGTAATTCCAACAGCTTTCCAGATTTCTCCTGGACCGACCCCTAAGTAGCATGAGTCTGGTCCAAAATGCCAGGCCCCTGTATCTTCAAGGCAACAGCTGAGCTCTGTCTTGATTCCTAATACTCCTGTACAAATGCTATTCAACAAAAGTCTGATCAACTGGATCAGCAAGCAGTCCCCTTCCTATCAACTCTAAACTGAAGGCAGATATTATTATTATTGTTATATTATTATTATTATTACAAAAGGGAAATGCCTTCTGGGAGGAATTAATAAAGATAACTCTCACTTCATTACAGCCATGACCTGGAATATCTTTATTTATTTTTTTAACGATGGTAACAAGGTTTGTACTCGGGGGCCCATACATGTTAGCAGGTGTTCTACCACTTGAGTCACACCTCTAGCCCTTTTGCTTGTTTTCTTCCTTTTAGTTATTTTATATAAGGCCAGTTTTGAACCACCATCTATGTTTCCTGTGTAGCTGGGATCTCAGGTACATACCACCATACTTGTCTCATTGCTTGAGAAGGGTTCTCACTAATGTTCTTGCATAAGCTATCTTTGAACCATGATTCTCTCAATCTTTGCCTCCAGAGTAGCTGAAAATCCAGGCATGTACCACCATACCTGTCTCCTACATGAATTCTTATTACAGCCTATGAAAATAGTAAAATGTTATCAAGTTGGACCTTTCAGTCATTCCTAATACAAGAACCAAAAGAAGGAGTGGTCACTTGAAATGTAATGGTAATTAATATTTGGTAGGAAGGAGGCTTGGATAGAGAGGCATATCAGGAAAGGGAGGAGCTGATATGTGGTTAAAAACTAAAGAATGAGCCAGGCACTAGTGACTCACGCCTGTAATCCTAGCTACTCCGGAGGCTGAGATCTGAGGATCATGGTTCAAAGCCAGCCCTGGCAGGAAGTCCATGAGACTCTTATCTCCAATAAACCACCAGAAAACCAGAAGTGGCATTGTGGCTCAAGTGGTAGAGCACTAGCTTTGAGCTGAAGAGCTGAGGCCCAGAGTTCAAGTTCCATGGCCGATAAAAAACAAACAAATAAACAAAAGAACTAAAGAATAAAATTCAAATGGTGGCTAAGGGGAGAGAAGGAGGAGGAGAAGGAAGCTTCAGGGAAGAGGAGACACTCTGATCATTCGTTCCTCAGAGCTGTCCCCACACACAGGAGCAGCATGGCAAAGCTCAGCCTGTGGGTTGGCTGCACACCCCAATTACAAGGGTTATAAATACATATGGATTTCATAGAAACCGTGGCAACTGCAATCACTTAATCACCGTGTTTCCCTCTTGAATAAGTTGACTGGATCTTTTGTGTGTGTTTATGGGTTGTTGTTGCTGTTTTTTAATGCACACTGCTTTTAGGGGCTCTCCTTCAGGAGAGAGTAGGATAGCAGGGGGAAAGCAAGTAGAATTACCTCAATAAATCTTCCAGGGGCCAGATGCATTTTTATCACAAACATAATCGGGATCCAGATAACTGAGCAGGCAAGCATTAACCATCCGAGCACCATGGACCAGTTTGGGTAGCGGTAAGATCCATAGGTCATTGGCTCCCACTGGTAAAAGCTAAAGCAAAGGATAAACTGGGGAAAAAAGAGAAATCCAACGTTAGGGTGGTGCTGTGATCATGCATTATTCAACAGGCATGTGCTGAACCCGTGATGAGCCTGATGCTTTCATTTCCATTATCTTATTTCATACCCATGTCCACTCTGAAACAGAACGTTCCAAATGAAGAAACTGAATTTCAAAGAGGTGATGATGACATGCATTTAGCTGCTGCTGCCCCAGCATTTGCCATCCCCTAGGAACTGTGTGTGTGTGTGTGTGTGTGTGTGTGTGTGTGTGTGTGTGTGTGTGCGTGCATGCGCGCATACAAACTGAGATGAACTAAACAGTCAGCAAAGTGACTAACAGGAACAAGTGGGAAGGAGGAAGGGGCGGGGAGTTTGTAAGGGACTGTCTGTATTTCCTACAGTGGATAATCAAGCTTGTTATATGAATAAGCTATGTTAAATTTATGCATTTTTAATTTTTTAAAAGATTGGCTTTCTCTTTGCATGAGGGATGGCCCACATCCAGGAGCTGCCTTTTAAGCTGTCTGAGTGAGGCCCAAAGTGGTCCCTGAGCAGTGACTGAGCCAGAAGCCTGGTCCTATAATAAGCTATTGGGCAAGCAGAGAGAATCCACAGCTCCCTCTCCAACTGACTCAAGGTGAACGAGTGTCATTGCCAAACAGTGAGCTGAGAGCCCAGAGACCGGCAGGCTAATCTTGGCTCTACCATTAATTAGCTGAGGGACCTTTATGTCTCAGACTTCTCTGCTATAAAGTGGATATATTTCACGCCATGTATAGAGTACAGGAGTTTGGGAATAAGAGTCTGTTAGTTGCTCAGGCATTCCCCTCCCCCGATTTTAAGAGAGGTCGTGATTTATTTTCTACCCATTATCTCCTATCACTGAACACTTGGCTGGAAACAGATATAGGATCTCTCTGAAGGCTCAGCCAGTGTATCTGAGGAACAGAAAAATGTATCTGCCGAAAACAGAGGCACCTGTGAAGTTGGATGATGAGTTCTAGCTGCTCTAGCCAAGCCTTTAAGGATAGGGAACATTTCCCTAGGAAAATCATGTGGCTTCCAGTACTCATCTTGACCATGGTAGCCTTAGCCTAAAATACCTTTCCCACCTGAATCCTATCCCTGTCTCTTCCTCTCCCACCCCATTAAGCTGTGAAATAACTATCTAAGAATGACTGGGAGAAATAACATCAGAGAAAAGAAGATATGGAAGTATTTCGGAAATACATGACCCACTATACAAATAGAAGGCATCTATATTGCTGTTGCAAATCCCAGGCTGCTTGAGCAAATGATTCTTTCAATGCAACAATAATTCAATATATTGATTCAAAGCAACATGAGCCCAAAGACAACTGTTGAGATTAAAAAAAAAAATGTTACTCTAGAAAGAGATGCTGCCTATTCTAGGTTCTTTTTTAAACACTTGCCCCTAGAGTTATAAGCTTTATTAGCCAGTCTATAGGAAATAGGACCTAATGTAATTATGGTAAGCTGCTCCATTTCATTTACTATATAAATAGCAATACATCTGCTTATGTGTGTGCATAACTCAGAAACGTGATCTGACTATGTATACAATAATTGCATGGGGAATATTTATAGCTTCATAAATCTGTGAAGGCACATATAAAAATGATCAATTTTATTTCAGGGGCTTCGAAGTAATTTAAGCCTATAATCTCAACCTATTCTAGCATACTACAAATTCCATTTTACAGAAGGGAAAAATGTAAAATATAAGTAGAGCTTGGTCCTTGGACAGCCATTTCCAGTTGCACAAACATCACATCAAACATATGTACAGACCTATTCTTTGCCATCAATTTCCCTCTGCCAAGTCAGCTCTAATAAACCTTGTTGCCAGATGGGCCTAGCCCTGAGAGATGGTAACTCTTCCACCAAGTCAGGCCCATCTTGATGTTTTACTGATAGCGGCCAAAGGTAGCAATGCAGAGACTGGTTAGTAGTTGATGATAATGAAATTGACCATTTCTAATCATCCTTAGCTTCCAACTAACACAGAAAGGAAATCTGGTCCAAGATATTATCTGTGATCTGGATACAATTTCTAACATGAATTTTGTTTTGGTTTGGTTTGGGTTGGGTTGTGGGGCTTGAACTCTGGGCCTGGACACTATCCCTAAGCTCTTTTTTTTCCTCAAGATTAGCACTCTAGCACTTTGAGCCACAACTCCACTTCAAGTTTTCTGGTGGATAATTGTAGATAAGAGTTTCACTCACTTTCCTTCCTGGGCTGGCTTTGAACTGCAATCCTCAGATCTCAGCCTCCTGAGTAGCGAGGGTTACAGGTGTAAGCCACCAGCTCCTGGCTTAACATGCATTTTCTAACCAAGATTTATTAAGGCAGAGAGGAGCTAAGGAACTTCTCAAAAACAAAAAAAAATAGCAAGTCCCTCGATTCTTCCCTGATAGTAAGATTAGGACTATTTTAACCTACTAAAATAGCCAACGTCTACCAGGAGATGAACATTTGGGCTCTTAAGAAATGTTCAGCTCATGAGCTGAAGCCTAGATGGCACTGTATATATTTGGCTCTGTAAAGTTCCTTTAAAGTCTCTAAGCCTCAGTGCACACATCTGTAAAACAGGGTGAAAATCACCCAGCAGGCATAGTGGCCATAATTTTTAAAACAGTATTGTTGAAAATCCTACTCATCGGGCTGGGAAGGTGGCTCAGTGGTAGAGCGCTTGCCTTGCATGCCTGAGGCCCTGGGTTCCATTCCTCAGCACCACATAAGCAAAAAGAAAAAAGCCAGAAGTGATGCTGTGGCTTTAGTGATGGAGTGCTAGCTTTGAGCTGAAGAGCTGAGGGACAGCGCTCATGCCCAGAGTTCAGGCCCCACAACCAGACCCAAAAAGAAAAAAAAAAAAAAAAGAAAATCCTACTCATGCTAGATCTCCATATGCACAAGGGATGATTATTTGTGCATGGTATATTTCTATAGCATATAAGAAAACTCTCTGAAGTTTAATCTCTTCTAGGACAGTAGAAAAAGGAAAGCAAAATCTAGAACAGATTCTAAGTTTGACTCAACCAAGAATAAACTATGAAGAATGGGGGAGGGAAAAATCCCAGTTCTTCACACACAGTTCTGTCCTGAACTCAAGAGATGAAAAGCCTTTCTGAATCTATTTAACTCATATTCCCCAGAACTCTGATGGGAATGTTCAATCAACTACAAACTGAAATATGAATGTAGACATCTGTGTTGATTCAGAGGGAAAGTAATACTGAATGGTTTTTGTGTCCTGAACCTTTAGCTTTTAATGAAGAAACTAAGGTGTTTTGATGGAAGGAAGGAAGGAAGGAAGGAAGGAAGGAAGGAAGGAAGGAAGGAAAGGGAAAGGAGGGAGGGAGGAAGAAAGTATGTTTTTTCTTACCTACCTATGTATTTTCAGCCATCCTTATGCTTCTTAAGCAAAGCTAAAATCTTCTAGAAAAAAAATGGTCTTAATCTGGTTTCTATTGCCATCTACTGGGACAAACAGAAATTACATACAGCTTCCTCCAGCTTTGCCAATATGATACCAATATTACTAGCCAAAAAATCGGGGCGGGGTGGGGGGGAGGGCGCCGGGAAGGCAAGATTTCCATTAATCACTACTCTTAGAGAACCAAGTGAGGCCAACTTGACAGTCGCAGCACAATAACAAAGGTGACAAGATGTGAATGAATGCAAGCCCCTGTGCAAATTCACTGACAACACAAAAGGCTCTGATCTTTAAAAAGATGAATGTCAGCTGATCCGAAAATGTCACCTGACACTTAAGGATGACAAAGTAGTCTTCAAACGCAATAGAATGAGCAATGAAAGTGTAATTAATGTTATATTAGTTGTAGAGTCACAGTATTGAGTACTGGTTGGGAGAATTAACATTGAAGCTAGACCACAGATACCTGGGTTCAAATACAATTAATTACTAGACTCACAATGCTATAAGCAAGTCATTTAATGTCTAGGCTTTACTTTCTCTTTTTTTTTGGGGGGGGGTCTGGTTGTGGGGCCTGAACTCTGGGCCTGGGCGCTGTCCCTTAGCTCTTCAGCTCAAGGCTAGCGCTCTACGACTTGAGCCACAGCGCCACTTCCGGCTTTTTTCTTTTTGTTTTTTGGGCTTTACTTTCTCATCAGCAAAATGGAGATGATTACATCAGCCTCTCTGAGCTGCTTAGGGAGCTAAGCTATAGATACAAAGCACCTTGAACACAGCCTGAGACAGGTACACCATGGTAGATGTCTGCTGTGGTTGCTTGCTACCTGCTGGCAGTTCAGAAGACAGAAACCTATGATGGAAAAAATTCCACAGAGAGGTGCTCCAAAGACCTAGGCATTAGTCCCAGCTCTGCACCTGACTGGCTAGGCAACTTTAGGTAAGCCATTTCACCTCTCTGAACTTCAATTTCCTTACCTGAAAAGCAAGAATGAACCCATCCCACCAGCTTGCCAGGCTCACACATGTGTTCTAATATTTACCAAAAAAAAATCATATACACATGTAAAGAGCTATTGCTATAAATAGAAAAAAAGCATGCAAATCTTACAGTTAAAATGGTGGGGGTTACAAATGCCCAGCAGACTTTCCAAAAAATATTGGGCTGGAATCCAATCATCATCTCGATGTCTTCACAGAATCTTTGCAGGCCTGAGAATGGACAAGCAGAGACCAAGTGAGTGCCGTGGCAGAGGGAGAGAAGGAAGCAGAGGTAATGTGTCAGGTACTCAAGACCATCATTCAAGCACCATTGGCTAGGGATGGGCCCAGCCTGGTATCAGCCTGACCCTGATTATGCAAAGGGACATTAGACAAATGATGCACAGCCAAAAAGCTTACAGCAAATTGAACATTGAAAGAGATATTAACTACTCTGTGCAGTAGAGGTAAAAAAAAAAATGTCAGCCCTGAGTGACATCTGAAAGTTCAGCTCCAACCCAGCACCAGTGTCTGAGCACTGTCACAAACTGACAGTGCTGGGTGGTTATTCATGTATGTGGCTTATGAGCTTAGTGACAAGTCTGGCAAGACCCATGAAGATTGTGGCCAATGAGGAAAGTGTACTTGGAAAGACTTAGGATTTAGAAGGACAGTTGCTCTCTATTGGTATTTTTGTCCCTCATCCCCCACAAGAAGACTATTTCTGTGAGTCTATTTATCTCTTTTCTGGGTGAGATTATCATGACAAGCCCTGGTGATTTCAAGTGGCCATCGTCCACTTTGTCAGAATGGAAGGACTGCTTCTGGGTGAATCAGTGACTTTACAAAAGTAAAACACAAAGGAGACAGTTACTCTCTTTACCCCACGTCACTACCTTCCCTGCCCCTTCTTGGATGAGGAAGGATTTTTAACCACTCCTTGAAAGGAAAAGCTACTGATGGATGGTTTTGAATGGGACAGTTCTCTGCATCCTTGCTGAACTTAATAATCTCAGAGCTGTGGGGTTGACAGCTAAGGAATCTGAAAGGTTGCTATGCTCAAGCTCCTTTGCATTCAGCAGGTCTGAAAATTCATCCCACTGTACATTCAAGATATGTGTTCCCTATAGAGAAAATTAAACTAGTAAATTCTTGACAGGAATCTCAATTAATTCAGTCATTGTGGAAAATCATTTGGAGTCCTCTCAAAAAGTTTAAGAAAGCCAGGCACTGGTGGCTCACACCTGTAATCCTAGCTACTCAGGAGGCTCAGATATGAAGATCACAGTTCAAAGCCAGCCTAGGCAGGAACATCTGTGAAACTCTTATCTCTAATAAAACTACCTGGAAAACCAAAAGTGGTGCTGTGGCTCAAGTGGTAGAGCTCTAGCCTTGAGCTAAAGAGCTGACAGCACCCAGGACCAGAGTTCAAGTACCATGACCAAAAAAAAAAAAAAAAAAAGCTTAAGAAAAAAATACATGACTGGTGGTCATACTAACTGGGTATATATCCAAACAATTTGAAATCATTATGTTAATGAGACATCCTCACACTCATGTTTATTACAGCATTGTTCACAATTCCAGCCTATGAATGTAACCTAAGTATATCAACTGATGACTATAAAAAAGAAAATGTGGTATATATACACAATAGAACAATATTTGGCCCTTACAAAGAGGGAAAATACATGATATGCAACCACATGGAAAAAACCCGATGGTCATTATAAGCCAGGCACAGAAAGAAAACTATCAGATTTGTTATCATTTACATATAAAATCTTTTCAAAATCTCACTTATAGAGCACAGAAGGAAATGGCAGTTGTACAAGGCTAAGGAATACATAAGGGTGATGTTGGTCAAAAGGCACAATATTTTAGTAAGAGAAAAAAATAAGTGTTTGTGACTATGAGTTTAATTACTTCAATACTACATTTTTATCACATTGTCTCCTGTAAATATATGCAATTGTAATTAGCCAATACCCAATAAAAATATAAAAAGGAATAAGTTTTGCAATTGAAATATATATGTGTGTGTGTGTGTATATATATACATATATATATATATTCTTTCTTACATACATGTTAGACTTTAAAGTTTAACCCCAAAAAAGTCCTCTCCAGCCTCCAGTATCAAAATAATGGTTTCTGAGATCATTTATAGTCCTCAGTTTTCTTCCTCCTTCAGAACAGGCTGTCCTAGAAAACGTTCAGGGACTCACCAAATCATTCAACAATTTCTCTTCTGAGATCCCTGCTCTACTTAGAGGTAAGTTTGATAGCTGTCACTCATAAATGTGATTCAGTGAGAAGAGCACTAGACTAGGAACCCACCCCCTTCTTCCTCTCTCTGGGCAGCCTTCCCCTTCCTAAGCTTTGTTGGTTTATTTAGGGAATTAGGCTGCATGAGCTCTTGAGGACTGTCTAGTTCAGGGAAGCTCCAGGTCTAAGACATGAACTAAATGCTTTTTTTTTTTTGGAGGTTGTGGGGCTTGAACTCTGGGCCTGGGCGCTGTCCCTCACCTCTTCAGCTCAAGGCAAGCGCTCTACCACTTGAGCTACAGCGCCACTTCCGGTTTTCTGGTGGTTTATTGGAGATAAGAGTCTCACAGTCTCTCCTGCCCGGGCTGGCTTTGAACCATGATCCTCAGATCTCAGCCTCCTGAATAGCTAGGATTACAGGCGTGAGCCACCAGCGCCCGGCACTAAATGCTTTTAACTGTGGACTTCTCTTAGTGTTCTATCAAGTACCTCTGGCTGAGTGACCTGCAGACACTAGGCTCCTTGGGCAAGATGATGCAGAGAAAAGCAAAGAAACAGAAGTCACAAGGCCCTCAAACAAAACCAAAACACTGAAAGCTGGCCTCCACTTAGAAAGGAAAGAAAGAGAAAAGTGAAGCCAAGGAGGGAGGAAGGGAGGAAGAGCAGGACAAGGGAAGGGAGGGGGGGAAAGAGAAGGGTGGGAAGAGAAGAGGAGGGAGAGGGAGGAAAGGAGAGGGAGGAGGGAAGGAGGAGGAGAAGGGAAGGGGGAAGGCTGGCTCTAAAAACTTCTGTTATCAGCTTTGCTCTTGTAGCCAAGTTCTTCTTCTCCACAAACCATCAACTATCCCTAAGAAATGAAGATATGTGGCTTCATTGGTTACACCGACTTAGCAGGGTTTCAGTTAGATCAGAGAAAGACAGCTCACAGCCTCCTCTAGAAGTATTCAAGCTTCCCCAGAGGGGAAGGGGAAGAAGGGCTTTGACCCCAAGCTATGCAGAGGAGTGGCTAATGGGAGCCTTGTCTGCAGCAAGTGGCAACTGTTATGGAGAAGTAGTTTCAAGTCTGGCAGTGAAAGTTTTGAGTAACAGGGCCAGTTCAGACCCTGAAGACTCATCTTCTTCCCTTGGGCTTAACATGAGGGATCTGGACATCCAGCCCCTGTCCCAGATCACTTCAAATCCTACAATTGCTATCTGCCTATTTGGAGTCTAGTCCTGCCCATGCTGAGCCTGAGTGACCTTCCTACACTGTACCCTCGTGGTTTTCAACCTCTCCCATCCTCTCCCCATCACCTCTGCCTCATATCATCGCCCATCCAGCCACAGCCCAGACCCCGTGCTTCACACCCAAGCCCCTGAGTCCCTCAGTGATTTAATGGTTTCCGTCACTTTATCCTATTATTTCATATTTATTATATTGTTTTATGATTTCCTTCTGCCTGCTCTTTCTTGGGAGCTAGTTTTCAAAGCCTACTGTAGGTGAGAAGCTATTCCAACCCTCCCCCAGGTTTCTGGGAACACAGAGGGCATACAGCAATCACCTAACAAATACCTGGTGGCTAACTCATGCATTGGGCTATATGAGTCACAACAGATCCAGGCCTCTGATTCTTAGTGTATACTGAGCCTTGGTCAAGTTTGGAAGTCTACCTCCTGAAGTACAAGTGTCACACCAATGTCTTTGCAGTCAAAAATGTAAGTGGCATTGAAGCATAGGTAGTATGGGTGGGGGGCCTGGGACAAAACATGGCTTCAGTTTGTAGAGCTCTGAGAGAGGGATTTTGGGGTTGCTTTGTAAATTTGTTTTATTTTGTTTCTGTTTTTTTATAGTTTTACTTTTCTTCTGCACTGGACCAAAAAAATCTTAGAGCTCATCCAGAAGGATGGGCATCTTATAGAATTCATTGCCAGAAAGGAAAATAACACCAACAACTCCAATACCCCCCCCCCACTCCAACACCCATGAAAAGTGTGGAGGGACAGGCTAGGGTGGGATGTGAAGTGAGCAAGTGCCCATGTGGTAAGACCAACTATCTTATATATTCTATAGTGACATACAGTGAGCCAGAGTTAGGGAACAGGATGTTTGGTCAGGGATTATTCAGTCAATCACATTGTTCCTCACAGCCAGGGTCCTGAAAAGTGACTCTACTTCAAAAGTTGGTTAAAGGAATTACTCCTTAACAAATGGAGGTAGTTTCACCTTTGAAACTGGGTAAATCCCACCTGGAAAACAGACTTGGAAGGGTGCTGACTTAAGAATTTCAATAAGCAACTTCAATCTAAGGATGAAACCTGGAAAAGTACCCTACACCTGCTGGTAGCTCATGCCTATAATCCTAGCAACTGAGGAGGCTGAGATCTGAGGATTGTGGTTTGAAGCCAGCCCAAGAGGAAAGTCTTGAGACTCTTGTCTCCAATAAACTACTTAGAAAAAGCTGGAAATGGTGTTATGGTTCAAGTGGTAGAGCACTAGCCTTGAGCACAAAGAGGCTCAGGGACAGCACCCAGCCCTAGGACTCTCTCTCTCTCCCTCTCTCTGTCTCCCTCCTTCCCTCCCTCCCTCTCTCTCTCTATCTCTTTCTCTCTCATACACACACACACACACACACACACACACACACACACACACACACAAATGTGCCTGTCATAAAGCAAATGCTTGAATGGCATCTTCTTTAATTTAGTGATTACTAGAAAGAAGTGGAAAACACAAACCTCTGTAAGTCACCTCATCCTGGAAGGTAATGCAATTAAACAGATTCATTTTCTTTCTTCTCATGTTCACATTCAACTACCCTACACTAACCTGGCGCTAGTTTGCAGCCACATCACTTTGGTATAGAATGCACTATCCTTGGGGAGAAAGGGGTACAATTTACATGTTTGTGTGGGGTATTTTTTTCGTCTCTTAACAAGTATGCTAACTTATCTCAACTATTTCCTCCTGAGATTTACTTCTTAACACTTCATTAGATCCAAGTCCAACCTAAGCCCAGCACAAAATCAACCTGAATATGGAATTTGGCCTAATACCAGCAACCCCTAGGGACCAGAAGATGTCTTATCTCCAGGAAAATTAGCATAGCCCAGGAATTAGCATAACCCAAGGAACGAAACATTGGGATTTATTTATTCCTTCAAAATCAAGAAATCTGCTTACAGACCTAACAGAATTACAGGGATGGGAGGGGGGAAGGGCAGTCAGCGGGAGCTACTTAATTTCTAAAAAAAGACATGTTAAAAGGTTTCTGTTTTAGTAATGTTTTTAAAGCACATTGAACAGGACTGTTTTATAGGGGAAAAAACTGTACAAATGTGCCCTGTGTGTCAATTAGCAGCTAGAAAACAGCTAAAAGCAGCATTTTGTAATGAAGAAAGCAGGTAAAAGTGACAATCTACACTTAAGCAGTGCCACAAATGAACTGTTTTTCCCAACTTTAGAAATGATCCCAGCTTACCTAGGGACCTACATGGGTTTCTGCTTCCAACGGTAACGTTTTCTTATCTCTCAAAGTTGAGGATTTTGGTATTTGGGAAATAATTAGAATTCCCTGCGGTGGATTGTCCTGGGTTTGTGCCATTCTCTGCTCAGGTAGAAAGCACTCTGAAGTCTCACTCTGACTCTGGCATCAGAGTCTCCATCTCAGAGCCACTGCAATGCCCAGACCACTGCCTCAGCCAAAAGGGTTGGCAGCTTGATCTCGTGAACTCACCAGGACAGCTGGCAAACCTGCACACTCCTCTTGCCAGGAACTAAACTCTCCCTGCCGTGGGGATGTAATGTCTAGTCTGAGAAAAAAAATCATCCTCAACTAAAATCCAAACATGATTGTACTATCTTCTTGTTTTAGTGGCACACAATTGTTACATGATCCTCTTTCATTTTAATAAGTTTTCCAAAGAAGCAAAACTCTGTGGTGCCTCTGTGGGTAGGAGGCTAGCATTCTATTTTAAGGATGGATATACAGCAGCCAGGGTGGGCTTGGTTGTACACCCAGTTTAAAAGTAGAGCTCTGTAGACACCTCAGACCTGGACTCCATTCCTTCAGGCTTTGCCTGAGGACACCAAATCCTGCACTCTAAATTAAATCCTATCCTGCATTTCCTTTTGTTTGTTTGTGCCAGTCCTGGCGCTTGAACTCAGGGCCTGGGTACTGTATCTGAGCTTTTGTGCTCAAGGCTAATGGCCTAACAACACAGGAGCCAGAGCTCTACTTCTGGATTTTGGTGGTTAATTGGAGATCAGAATCTCATGGACTTTCTTGTCTGGGCTGGCTTTGAACAGGGATCTTCGGATCTCAGTCTCCTTGAATAGCTAGGATTACAGGTGATAGCTACCTGCATCTGGCTTGCATTTCCTTTTATATTAGCACCTGTGACTATCTTTGGAGGCATTTGAAATAGTTAGACTGAACTGGAAATTTTTATCTTCCTGATATGACCTAGGATGGCCTTATCTATAGTTGAAGGCCTTAATCTAAGAACTGTTCTGAACACTCTCCCAGGCACAACAAAAATCAGAACTGTGATGAATCAAACAGGACTTCCTTAGACTGACTGGAATGACATACAAGGGGACCTCCAGGCCAAACCTCAAGAACCTTTGCAGCTGTGGGAAAGACACTATTCTTGTTGTTCTTGACAAGAGTTCCCCCGAGTATGGGATGCAAACAGCTATGGGAATGGTAGAAAGAACAAGCTCTTGGAAACTGGAAGCTTATTCTTAATAAACATGGCATTGATATCCTATATCATGAGTTTCTTTGATGCTAGTAAGTTGTCCCAAAGATCTATCAGTCAAACAGTCTCTGGTCTCACTATCATATCCAGGGACAAGCTGTAAAGCAACTCCTCATTTCAAGCTATGTGTGTTCCACAGCTACCAAGACCAGGAAATAATTCCACACCTGCCATGCTGTCCTCCTCCTCCCTCATCTGACTATTGGCCACAGGCAGTAACAATTCATTTGTCAGGCCATACCCAAAGGCTGGGTTTCACCATTTTTTTGTTTCTCTATTGAATCTGGATCCACATGGGAATATAGAGAATGGAGATGAATCTGTTCAAAGTCTATCATGTACATGTATGCAGTTTTCACAACAAAATCCCTCATAGTACAAACACACACCAATTCACAAATAAAACAAATCTGGATCGTAGCAGTCCTGGGGAATAAAGGTGTGATTCAATCCTATAAATAGGAGAACCTTGCTCGTTAGGAATGCCTTACCACACGGGAGTTGATCTGGGCAGCAGCCCTGTGGCTCACTTACCATAGATATAGGAGATCCCAACGAGCTCAAAAATGGCAATGATGACAAGGGCATAGGAAGCAGCATATGTGTCCACAAGCTGAAACATGTAAATTCCACCCTAAGAGGAAAGAGAGACAAGCAACGTCAAACAGGCCTTGGAGCCAACTAGACTCCATCTTCCCACTTCTAGTAGTGAATCCTGTCCATCCTCCAGAGAGTCAGGAACAGACAGGCATCAATGGATCCCCTCCCCTTAACAGCTGTAACCTCATCACCTCACCTGGTCAAGGATGAAGAAGTTACCAGATTAGCAAAGCTGACCCGTGACAGGCTCAGAGCTAATCAATAAAATAATCACCCCCAAACAAGTGAGGCAGTGTCTTATTTCTCAAAGGTTGTAAGTATGCGAAAGTATTAGGAGTACTTGGAGTGTTTCCTTTTTGCTGTAAGCAATCGGTGATCATTTCCACTCATAAACCTGCATTTGACCTTTACATACCTATGAGTATTCCTCACACAAGCTTATGAATCTCTACCTTATTCCTACCCTTTAAATCACTCTAAGATTGTTAGGGCTTAGCAACAATCTCATTTCAATCTATTGTTTTTTACAGATGAAGAAACTAAGGCCCAGAGCAGTGATTCATTCAAGGTCACAGAGACAGCAACATATATATATATATATATATATATATATATACATACATACATACATACATACATACATACATACATACATACATATGTACATGCATACATACATACATACATATACTGAGTTGACAGCCAATGTACCAAGACATTCAGGACCTGGAAAAAATTCTAGTGATAATAGAGAGTCACATATGTTTTTGTTTTTAATCAGAGATACTACATTTCTCAGGCTTCATTTGAAATCCTGATCCCCTGTTGATCAACTCCAAAGTGCTAAGATTACAGGCATGTATTACCATGCCTGGCTGTACTTTCCATTCTCTTTCAGTAGGACGCATCTGCCTTGTTGGCTCAAGAAGGTTATATCTCAATTATAAAAATGCCAGGAGCATTACTAGTAGCCAAGGTGACATATTTTCCTGGGTAGTCAGAAGCCCTAGTGAAATGGTGCCATCTACATGGAAGTAACAGTGATTTGGGCTAGAGTTATAAAGTCTGAGAGCTAAGGCTAAAAGGAGAAATAGCTGCTATAGCCCCTCACCTGCCCACCCCACCCCAGCACCTGCCCAGCCGGCCTCTTACCTGAGTGATCATTGGAAAGCCCATGATGAAGAAGCAAATACAACAGCCCAGAGTAAAGACGGGCTTGTGTGTACGCAGGTACTTGGGGAACTCATCCGAAATGGAGGTCACTATGGTCTCAATGGTGGCAAACTAGAACAGGGCCAAAAACAAGCATCTGAAACAAACTGCCTTGTTCAGAAGCTTCTCCCCCTGACCACCCCCTTAACCCTTTTCTGTCTCACCAGGGATAGTGGTATTTGCATTAGGTCTAGTTTCTAGGCTGGTATTGCTTCCATGGGTCTAAAAGACCTTATAAAGGTCAAATCTACAAGGTCAAACTGAAAAACTTAAGCAAGATGTGAGCTCTAGAAACTATATTACCAGCCCCCAGAGCATTCACTCATGTTCATTCATCAGGGCACTTTAAGTTTCATTTTGTATTCATGAGATGTAAATTCCTCTTTTCCAGTTACCTTGCATTTGATCTTTGTACTTGAGGAAAAACCCTCATTGCACCCAACGACTAAACTCTGAGCACTTGTCAGCATGATTTGTAGTAGGCTCAGCCCCATAGCAATTTCCTTAAAATTGACTTCATATTATTCTCCCTTATCCAGCCCTACAGAATTTGCTTTGGCAAAATGATGCCAAAGCAGAATGCATGCAGACTTAAAACTTAACATGGAGAACAAAGAAAAGGAAAACAGGAGTGGGGACAGCTCCTTCATGTGAGCACTCAGCAAGGTTATGCTGAAGCACCTCACCCTTCCCACTTTGCTCAGGAAAAGAACCTTCGAGCACCTGTAAACCTGCCTCTTGGCTGCAAATAGCAGCCAGGACCAAAGAAACAGTGACCTGAGAAGGACCCTGGTACAGGGATGTCAGGGTAAAGGACTCACCATAGTGTCAAGTCCAAGAGTGAGGAGCATCAGGAAAAAAATGATGGCCCAGAATGGAGAGAGGGGCAGCCTGGTTAAGGCTTCTGGGTATACCACAAATGCAATGCCGGGCCCTGGAAGGAATGAGACAGACAATCAAAGGCAAGCCTGGCTCAAAGTCTATCTCCCCAGAGCTCACAGGCCTTCTAGCCACTGAGATCCCAAATTATTACTAGTGATATGTTGTTCTCGCTATTTGTGTTTTTTTTTTACTTATCACTGCCCATTTTGCCAGTTCAATCAGGCTATCTCTCTGCAAATAACATGAGAAAATACATTTTTTTCTATCAGATGAGTTGGGGGCAAATATAATAATTACCCTCTAGAACAGTGGTTGATATGATCAACAAAGGGATATTTGGGAAAAAAGAATTAAAAAAAGGGATATTTGGCTATACTTGGAGACATTTTTGATTCCCAAGACTGGGATATGAAGTAGAACTAGTTAGAGAGAAGGGGGATGGAGGGAGGGAAGGAAAGAGAGAGAGAGAGAGAGAGAGAACAGAATGTGGGGTTGCTATTAAGCACTATCTAAGGCAAGGACAGCTTCCCAGCAACAAAGAGCTATACAATCCAATTCCAGGGCTGCTGAGGCTGAGAACCACTGCTCTAGATTATGACATGAACAGAATGACATTATCCCTGCCCCTTGCTTAAACTACACTTGCTCTGGAAGAAGCCATTCATACGATACTCGAATATTTCTAACACCTTTAAGATCCTTCCCTACTTGGTAAATAAATAGATGGGATTATGTCAAACCATCAGAAATTAGTTGGGGAAATGGGGCAGTAGATCATGACATAGATTGTTTGGTCTCTAAAGGTCAGACAATCTGATCCACATCTAGCTTCATCACTTAGCAGCTAGGTAACCCCAGACAAGTTACTTGATTCCTTTAAGCCTCAATTGTGCTCCATCTGTACACTGATAAGACACATGGGTGATAGACTAAGCTCAGTGTCCTGAGCATCATCACACTCCCTCACCTTATGAGTAGACAATGAACTTGGTAGTTAGAGCTCCTGATTCAGACTGTCCTAAGAATACCACATGCTGTTCTAGTAGGGGTATCTAAGATTTCATTCTCTCAACCATCTTGAAGCCATGCAGCTATTCCTACCTGCCTTATGGTCTCCCTGAGAAAATCACTGTAGCCAAACACAGCACCAGGCATGGCAGGTGTGAGCTCCCTTTAAGTAGAAAGCTAAATGATCATTGGCAGAGACAAGTGAACGTGAGCACAGGGGTAACACATACACAGTACACGTCTGGAAAGCAGAGATCCCAGCACCTGGAGTTTTTATAATTCAAGCCTAATAGCACTTCTTAAAACTGGAATTTATCAGGTTGTTAGTTCCTAGTGTTGCCTAGGGCCTGAGGGTATTTAAAATATAAAGCCTCCAATGCCTAAGATACTCCCGCTTCATGCATTTATTGAACAGATCTCAGAGCCAGCCTCCAAAAGCTCCCTTTGTGAACCATAAAAGAAAAGCCTGCATTAAACTACAATTCAAAATAAGTCTCGAATGAGAAACAACATGGAAGCCAGTACAGTGCTGACGACAGTCGGGGCCCATAAAGTGGACAAGAAGGTCTTCAATGGTCACCACAGGAGGACTTCCCTGGGTCACGTGGACAGGGTTTGATTACTTTAAAGGGGAGGAATCCATTCAAAATAGCCAGCTTGTTTATCAGTTGTCTCTCTAATACTTGAGGGAAGAAACTTTGTTTACAAGCTCCATTACCACTAATGTCACTTATCCAGGGTGCCTGGGAATGGGGAGGGGTAGAGTCATCTAGTGAATAATACTGTTTAATGATTTAAAAAGCACATGGCCCACTGGATGCTAGGGGCTCACACCTGTAATCCTAACTATTCAAGAGGCTGAGATCTGAGGATCACGGTTCAAAGTCAGCCGAGGCAGAAAGAGACTCTTACCTCTAATCAACTACAAAAAAAAAACCAAAAAAACAGAAGTGGAGCTGTGGCTCATGGTTCTTAGAGCATTAGCCTTGAACACAAAAGCCCAGCGACAGTGCCCAGGCCCAGATTTCAAGCCCCAGGACCAGTAGAGAGAGAGAGACAGAGACAGAGATAGAGAGATAAAGAGACAGGGCTGGGAAGGTAGCTCAGTGGTAGAGTGCTTGCCTCACAAGCATGAGGCCCTGGGTTCGATTCTTCAGTACCACATAAGCAGAAAAAGCTGGAAGTGGCGCTGTGGCTCAAGTGGTACAGAGCTAGCCTTGAGCTGAAGAGCTTAGGGACAGTGCTTAGGCCCAGAGTTCAGGCACCACAACCAACCAAATAAAAGAGAGAGAGAGAGAGATAAAGAGACAGAGACCCAGAGAGAGAGAGAAAAAAGAGAAAGAGAGACTCCCGCCTCTCTTCTCTCCAAAAAGAGGCAGCATTTTCCAACAGCCAGAAAGCAGACTCCCAATGAATGGCCTCTTCCTGGCTGTGTGTGGGACCATAGGTGAGTCATTTGTCCTCTCTGAATCAACCCAACTTTCCTTATCCATGCAATGGGGATAATGACAGGACCAATCCTCACAGCCTTCTGTGAACATTCAGTATGTCAATCGAAGTAAAGGGCTTAGAATTAGCCCGGACCTAGTAGGAACTCAGTTTAGATCCTCACTACTTATTCCATGAGAGGGGATCCACAAGCACTGCACATCAAGAACTGGCTTGGAACAGAGTACCCTCAGAGTCCCCTTTGCAATCCAGAATGCCACTAAGGATAAAGCAATGCAATGCATCACAACCAATGGGCCAGATTGGGCATCATGCTGCTGTGACACCTAACTCACAGGAAGGAGTTCTCTAAGGACACACCACCAGAACTCCTGTGCCTTTGAGCAGAAGAGCTGAGATCTGGGTGCTAGACAGATGGTCGGATAGAAATAAGGGGATCATCGTAGTATGAAAGTATTCATTTGGATCAGCAGGGTTTCTGAACTATTAGGTAAATAGGGAACCAAAGCTGCAATTTCTGGTAGTCTAGTTGGCTAAGAGTTACTACCAACCAGTATCTGGAAACTTAAATAACATTTTTTTGCTAGTCCTAGGGCTTGAACTCTGGGCCTGGGCTCTGTCCCTGAGCATCTTTTGCTGAAGGTGAGCACCCTACCACTTGACCACATAGACAGTTCCATCTGGGAACTTAAAAACAACACACACACACACACACACACACACACACACACACACATTTGTGTTTGTCTACTCTAGTCTAATTATGTTATTCTGTTAATGCATAACAAGCTTTGTAGAGTTTCAGGTTCTGAAAATGAATCCTGCTTCCATAAGCAGCAATAGTTGGAGACTCTGGAAGTAGTTTCTCTAGAGCAGATCCCTAAGAAAAGCATGCCTCCCTTCCCTGTGGCTGTCACAAAGCAGAGTTCTGCTTACACTTACCACCAGCATCAGGCCAGGAGCTGAGACAAGAGTTTTGATAGAAATGCCTCCCTAAGTCAGGTGCTGGTGGCTTATGCCCATAATCGTAGCTACTCAGCATGTTGAGATCTAATGTTGGGCAGGAAAGGCCATGAGACAAGGAGAAGGAGGAGGAGGAGGAGGAGGAGACAAAGAAACAAATGAACAAAGAAACAAAGAAGAGGTGGTAGTAGCAGTAGAGCTGTGGCTCAAAGTGGTAGAGCACTAGCCTTGAGCAAAAAAGCTCAGGGACAGCCCCTAGGCTCTGAGTTAAACCCCAGAACTGACAAAGAAAAAAGAAGGAAGAAAGTATGGAAGAGAGGAGGGAGGAAGGAAGGAAGGAAGGAAGGAAGGAAGGAAGGAAGGAAGGAAGGAAGGGAGGGAGGGAGGGAGGGAGGGAGGGAGGGAGGGAAGAAAGGAAAAGAAAAGAAAGCAAACAAGCAAGCAATGCTTCCCTAAGAAGGAAGTGATAAATGAAACAGAATAATGTCAAGTCATAAAGAAGAAACTGTTGCCTATTACCAATGTTGGGTCAACAGAAGGATCTTAACTGTAGCTATGTTAGTTGTATCGTGCAGCTAGGAAGGAGTGGGGTTGGGATTTCACACATGCCTCACTCCAAATATCTGACCTGATTTCTGCAAAGCATCCTTTAAACCCAGAGAAATAGGATAAGCTGGTGTGAGAGCAGGTGTGAGTCCCCCACACACCTCCCCGCAGGGTCTGGGAGAAGGTCTCAAGGACAGTTCCCTCTCCAGCGGAATAAGGCCCAGCGTCCGTGTGTCAGAGCCCAAGCAGTAACACAACAGGCTAGACCCTGTTAGAAGTAGGCTATGCCTTGTTCAATCAGAGGAACTGAAAAATACCAGAGAAATACACATAATTATCTGCTGCTTATTATAGATAATAAATAAAAGTCTCTTTAAGTTTTATCAGTATCTTCCAAAACCCTTTCCAAGGGCAGGAAAGAGTTCAGAAGAGTTCATTTATATGGCCTGCATCTTAGTAAACACTATTTGTAGCTAGTTGGCCACTTGCTCCCAATAAACTCAGTAATTCTCTCTTTCTCTCTCTCTATCTCTCTCTCTCTCTCTCTCTCTCTCTCTCTCTCACACACACACACACACACACACACACACACAAATAGCAAAACATCTCAGATCTGCAGGAAAGTGGGGCAGAGCCTATTCGCTTCAGCAACTCTGCTAGGAGAAAATGAGGTTACAGGACAGCTGGAGGTGACTCAGACACCCCTGGGAACAAAGCCTTCTCACCTTCTCTCCTGCTTCCCATGGAGTTCAAGAATTCTCAAAGCAGGGGAAAAAAAGCATTGCTTAGCTCCCAAGGCCCCTGTAATTTAATGTAAAGCTGCAGAACTAAATATCCCTGTGGATTGCATACTCTTCAGGGAGAAATAATTACAACCTTGGAACATATCAGCTCTTTAACTCTTTGAGGCTCAATGAGTATAAAAGGAGGCAGGAATTAAGAGATCAGTCATCCCACCCCTCCCCACCCCAAAAAAGATGAGATTTCTAGAGTTCAGTGCTCTTAGTAGCAGCATCTGAGCCATTGTCTGAGAACTGCAGTGAGCATCTTGAAGGAAGATGACCACAGACAAGGCTCCCATCTCTAGATGGCTGAAGCTCTGTGGCCATGGCTCTTAGCACCAAGCCCAGCCTGCACTCACGGAAGCATCCCATAAAAGCCTGATTTGAAAATCAGACCGAAATGGTAAGCCATAGTCACAGTGAAGTCCTTCATTCACTGAAAGCTTACAAATACCCAAATCCTTTGTAGAACCAGGCTGGGTGGAAATGGAGTTAAATAAAAACCTTAAATGTTCTCTCTACAAATGCTGTCCTAGAAATGTGGATTCAAAGCGATAAAAATAAAAGCCCTTTGTAAACTCAAAAGCACATCCAAATGTTAACCATTCACAAAAGGATTATTTAAGTAGAGGGTAAATATTTATTCTACAGCCTTCCTTCCATCCACCCATCCACTACCATTCAAACTCTCCATTCCCTGTGGAGGCAAAAAAAAAAAAAATCAAAACTGCAGTTCTGCATTGCAAACTAAGCAGAAGGCCTTGAGAATACACTTGACCTAACAATCAGGAAAGTGCTTTGTAAGGGAAAGTCAGAGCTGAAGTCAGAGCTCATTAAAGCACACATGCTCAGTTTCCACAGGGCCCTCTGTGAGCCAGGGCATCCTGTGGCAGGCTGTGCCCACAGCAGCTCCAGGGGCTCTGGTTTGCCCAATAAATCCTCTGCTTATACCTGATACAACTATAACAGGAATGGGGCTGGAGGAGACTTAAAAGACACAGGGAAGACAAAGGAAAGGAGATATGAGAGACAGAGAGAGAGAGAGAGAGAGAAAGTAGTGCTTCTTATGTAAATCCCCTTGGTAGAGAGGGGATAGCTCTAATGCTGCAGTAAGCTTCCACTAAAGCCAAGAGGTTCCCCAGACAAAATCTTATGGGTTCTCATACCCACTACTTGTTCCAGAAGTCAAATCCCTGGCAAAGAACAAACAAGAATCTACAAGCAAGCCTGGACTTGCCCTGCACCAGCAGACAATGAGTGCCCTGTACCTTGGTCAGCCACATTCTCGATGTTGACTTTGCGTTCGTTGGCCATGAAGCCGATGACAGAGAAGATGACGAAGCCGGCAAAGATGCTCGTGGCACTGTTGGTGCAGGTTACAATTAGAGTGTCCCTGGAAGGAAGAGACCAGAGTTTGCCATTCATTGTTTTATGACTGGGAAGGGATGAGGGAAGGGAAAAATGAATGTATGCCATATATTTGTGAGCATGTGTATATGTGTGCTTATGTATGGACATGTCATCTCTAAACATATATCCAAACCCACTGTGGTGGATCACACCTACATACATTTATTTAAGAGGCAGAGACTGGGAGGATCACTGCTTGAGGCCAGCCCAGTTGAAAGGGATTCATCATACAATAGCATTATGGGGTGGTAGTAAGATGTAGGAGGTGGAGCTTTGCTGGAGGTAGTAGAATGTGTACCCGACTTTCTAGCTCTCAGCCAGGTTCTTTCTGCCACAACCACAGCTGTCATTTCTACTAAGGCACAAAGCAAAGTGTCACCCTGATTCAGATCAACAGTTCCTGAGTAGTGTGATCAAAGTAGTAAAGCATTCAAGACTCTTATGTGTTGAACTATGTATCTTATACCCCACCAAAAATTCATATGTTGAAGTCCTAATTTTCAATATCTCAGAATCTGACTGGAGAGAGGGTCTTTAATGTGTCATTAGTTTAGCCCTTGATTCAATATGTCCGATGATCATAAAGAAAAGAGATGAGGACAGAGCCACACACAGAGGAAAGACTATGTGAAGAAAGTAGAAGATAGCCATCCACAAACCTAGCTCTGCCAACACCTTAATCCCATACTTATAGCCTGAACGGTGAAATATTACACTTATGTGATTGAAACTTTCCAGTCTGTCAAATGTGCTAAGGAGGCTCGAACAAGTCAATACAATGATCCTGTCTAATCTGGCTTCAGCTGACATTCTGGCCCTGTTGCCTCCTGACCCCATGTGCACACACTTCTTCCCATCCTATTTACCAGCTCCCTCCACGTACAGCACCCCATTGGTTCCCACTCATGTCATCTCAGGCTCTCTGCTACCTAAAATATCACTCTCGCCATCTACCCTGCTTCCTCTGCACCTTCTGCAATTCAGCCCAGCGTAAATCTCACCTGGTGATGCTGTCCCAGACAGCCCAAGCCAAGCTTACCTGTCATCTTTCTCCTCTAGCTTCAAAGATGCTTGAGGAAGGTTTGACCCTCAGTCAAAACTCTTGCATTATCAACTGAATAAGCGAGAGTCTGTGACAGCTACTAAGGATGAATTATCCATCACCTAAGCATGGCCCTGAGCCCCTCATGCCTGGTTTGTGTATCATCTAAAAAGGAAGTATGCTCCTGCCCCTCCATGTCTAATGACCAGAGGTATTTAAGGGCAGAGACATCCTCTGTTCTAATAGGACCAGTACTCATACTGTTTCTCACTATCATTCTTTACTCAAAAGGTATGGTGGGAAGTACTGAGTTCTAGTTCTGGAGGTTTCCATGGGGCTAGGTTCTTGTTCCAGAATTTCCCTTTTTTATTTTTATTAGCACATATTAATTGTACAAGATAAGGGTTTTATCATTACATTTCCATACATGTATGTAAGGTCCATCAGTCATATTTGCCTCTCTACTATTTTCTTGGGGTATGTGTCTGACAGTCCTAGGACTTGAACTTGGGCGCTGTCCCTCAGCTGGTTTTGCTCAAGCCTATTGCCACTTCAAGCTTTTTCTGAGTAGTTTATTGGAGATAAAAGTCTCACGGACTTTTCTGCCCAACTGCAATCCTAAGATATCAGCCTCCTGAGTAACTAGAATTACAGGCATAAGCTACTAGCTCCTGGCTCTATTACTCTTTTTTGTTCTCCTTCATCTTCTCATTTTCCCTCCCCCTTGTAGAGCCCTACCAGACCCCATTTTACTTTCTTAAAATCAAATAAACCTCTAGAACTCCTCTTTGGGCCCCTTTCCAGGTGGAGAGTCTCTCTACTTGCCTTTCTTAGCTTTCTCTTTACTTTCAAATAAACTTATTCCATTTACCTTGAAAAAAAATCAAATAAACTTGTGTTCAATGGGCCTATTGTGTCTTGTGAGTATGACTGACAATCCGAACTTGAATGCACACCTGTGATCTTGCACCTCTCCACCTAAATGGGAAGCTATTTGAAAACAAAGACATGATTTGAATCTTTCTGTCTCTTTCTTGGTCCGTACATAATTGCAACAATGATGATAGTAATGGCAGCTGCCATTTTGGAATACCTAGTATGTATATGATATTGCTCTTATAACCCTGCATATGCCATCCCTTGGCCCTTTCCCAACAAGTTATTATAATCTGTGCTTTACAGATGAGAGAGAAGTTTTGGTTACAGGGTGACATCATAGTCAAATGGTTCCCATCTCACTCCAAAGTGTTCTTTTTATTGTACCCTGCTCACCTTCCTTTAAAATCCTCTAGAAAGAAAACATTTGCAACTGTATAAAATATTATAGTTTCCCACTCTATAACTCTATTATGATGATATGACTCACTATCATCTGTGACTATACTAAGCCAGCTGCACAGCATTGTCTAGAGGGGCTGAGTGGCATCCTGTAAGTGTGCATCAAGTCCCCATTTGGTGTCTCAGTCAGTGGTATAAGTTGGGGGTCCAGAAGTTAATGGCTAGGTGTGGGCAGGTAATTTCTCCTAGGGTAAGAGTTCATGCTCCAGTGTTACCTTAGGTGAAAGGGGAGGATATGGGCTCTAGCATCTGACAACACAGCCTGTTCTGTTCCCTGACCCTAATTTCACTCATCGGCTACCTTGGGGTCTCGCAGGTGTCTCCCCCTACCTGTAGCAGTTGTTGTGGAATTTGTTGTAAGAAGAAAGAGTGATCAGACCTCCCCAGGCAGCAGATAAAGAGAAGAAAATCTGAGTGGCAGCATCTTTCCACACCTGGAAGCAAAAGCAGAGGAGAGTCAGGGTCCCCAGGAAGACCAATGCCAAGAGAGCCGAGTTTCCTATACCTGAGGCCACACATCACCTGCCCAGGGACAAAGCAACTTTGAATACAAATGTCAATGAGAACTTCACCTATACCTGAAGCCAAAAAGTAGTAAATTACCTGGGAGATTTTAGATCCTTCTAATAGGAAGTGAGGACCTTGATAAACTCTGCACATTTCACACTTATATGTCTTACCATGTACAACCACATGGAATGGAAGATTCCTTTCTTTAGGTTGATAGATACCTAAAGATCATTTGGAGCAACAAACTATGGTCGTGAATCCAAAATCCTTTTTAATTGATTGGAGGGGGGTGAGAGAGGGAGACAGAGAGAGGGAGAGAGACAGCGATAAAGAGAGACAGAGGTCAACCTAATGAAAGTATGGTGTATGCAGGTGTGAGATACAGTCTCTAGCTCTTAATCTCATTAAAGCAAGTACAGCACTACAACCCAGAGGAGTCATAGAACCAGACCCTTCCTGAACCTGGCCAAAGAATCTCTTGTTTCTCCTAAGTCATTCCTTCATCTTCAGAAAACTCCGTGTCACTTAAGAGTATAAGGTATAAGGCTGGGAATGTGGCTTAGTGGTAGAGTGTTTGCCTAGCATGCATGAAGCCCTAGGTTTGATTTCTCAGTACCACATAATCAGAAAAGGCCAGAGTGGCACTGTGGCTCAAGTGGTAGAGTGCGAGTCTTGAGCAAAAAGAAGCTAAGGGACAGTGCCCAGGCCCTGAATTCGAGCCCTAGGACTGACACATACACAAAAAGGGGAGTATGAGGTATAGATTTACATGTTTAGTGTCATGAATATCCATTCATCTTTATAAATTGAACCCTGTTCAAAACTGTTTAACAAAGAGCAAATCCAAGTGTATTCTGTACCCATCCAACACCATTCTCCTTTATAGCCTTAGATAAAAAGCTATGCCTTGATTTAAAGTCAGCCATCTATCCAGCTACTTCATCTAAGAAGTACAGCTAGGGAAAGGTAATTAGATGATCAAGATAATTGTCCAACTGTATGAAAATTGTTATGTGGGCTTCTTCTTTTCTTTTTGTTTTGTTTTGACAAAATCTGGGACTTGAACTCAGTATCTGATGTATTTACTCACTGGCTGGTGTTCTACCCTCTGAGCCAGAAACCAACTCCCAGGTTTCTTTTCAATAGAACAGTGCTCTCTGCCTCCACTCTCCACAAAGCTATCTGGAAGGCAGATATGGTGGCTGGAGCCTTAGCAGCTATATCAAAGCTATTTACTGAAAATGGTAAAGTACAAAAATGGAAGTTTGAGTCCCTGGTGACAACATGAGATCATTCAACTGGCCTTCAATTAATCACCATAAGAGGAAGATCAACTTTTTATCTTGTTTAAGCTGACTTTATCTGGAGAATTTCCATTATGTGCAGTCAAACTCAGTCCAAACAACACATTCCTAACATAATCTGGAAAAAGCAGCATTTTCTTTCAAAAGAGAAGAATTCACTGTCATTAAATAATAATAACTCCTTCATTTGGAGTTTTCTTAGATTGTGAATTTTAGAGACCTATATCCTTGCACAGTATATGCAAAGAAAAGTTTGATGGATTGGGTGCTGGTCCTGTGTCAGTGTGCAAGAAGCATTCAATTGTGTATGAGGCCTTTAACATGACAGAATTGCTTGTCGCTTACCTAAGTGCTATATAGTTTTCAGCCAGCAAAACTCTACTTCTAACACACCATAATTAGCAACAGACTAATGGAGTATAGTGGCCCAACACTATTAAAAGATTATCATTCCTACCCTCAGCAATTGTAGGACACCTACTCCAGGGCTCTGAATACCCTCAGATGTTCCTGAGTGTATAATATGCCAAAGATCATCGGCACCTTGTAGAAACAGGGAGATTCCCACAGAGCCAAGAGAAAACCTGATCTCTTCTGCCAAACAGAATCCCAGGGTGTGACCCATCCCTGAACTCCCTCCCAAGGTCTGTTAGGACTGCAATATTAAGCCCACCGTGGCATCTGTGAGTTTCTCCCACTTCGGTGTGATGAAGTACCAAATTCCAGCTCCAGCTCCAGGCAGGGTGACTCCTCGGATGAGGAGGATCACCAGCACAACATACGGGAACGTGGCTGTGAAGTAGACCACCTAGAAGAGCCATTGGGCAGAGAGGCAGGATGAGCGAACTTGCGGAACCCACCCCTGCACACAGAGGTTCAGCCACCCAGATGTACACCTGGCTGTGAGCTCTCTCCAGACAGGCCCAAAAATAAATCTTCCAGCAGACACTGCTGAGGCAGTGCCTCAGCCTAGAAAAAGGCAGACGGCAGGGGGAAGTGTCACCCCACCCAGCCATTAAATGGGAAGAACCACTAGAGAAGGAGGCTTTGTGATTCTCTACTCCAAAACTCAGGCCCAGTTTCTACCATTAAAGGTGAAGTTGTTTTTTTTTTTAGCATAAACCTTACAGCCCTGATTATACAGATTCTGTCAGTGGGGCAGCCTGGTAAGATGGAAAGACCCTGATCTTTTAAAAAATTATGTGACCTTGGACAAGCTATTACATCCATGGAGCTCAGTTTCTCTATATGTACAGTGAGATCATTAGAAATAATCAAGAAGATTAAGTGCATTAATGCCTGGGTAATATATAACACAGCATCTGAGAATTTGGTGATAGTCATCAAATGCAATTAAGTGCCACAGGCTTTTATGGAGGAGTTCCCTAGGAGCTGATTGCTCATAGAAACTGTGCTAGACATCAGCTGCATAGAGATGAAGAACTCGTTTTAAAAAATCAGAGCTGGCTATCAGAGGATCCCACCTGTAATCCTAGCTACTCAAGACTCTGAAGAGGCTGTGGTGTGAGGATCACAGTTCAAAGCCGGCTTAGGCAAGAAAGGCTGCATGAGTCTTATCTTAAACAAACCACCAAAGTGGAGCTTTAGTCAAGTGCTGGGAACACTGGCCCATGTGAGGGGAACAGACAATCCACACACTGGCTACACACACTTGAGTACCTGGGAAGAAGGCTCCAACCCGGCAGCAAAGGCTAGGCACTAGAATCTCAGAGATATAGTGATGTGTGTGGGATATAAGTTGGGGAAGACAAGAGTTCAGATTAACATATAACGCCAGGGAGCCAGGCATGGTGGTGCACTCATAATATCAGCATAGCCAAGGCAGAGATTGTGAGTTCAAGGCCAACATGAGCTATATGGCAAGACCTTATGTTTAAAAAAAAAAAGATCAATGGAGGGAAGACCTGGAATATTGCCCCTTAAGAAAGGAAGATGGCCAGGTACAGGTGGCTCATGCCTATAATCCTAGCTACTCAGGAGGCTGAGATCTGAGGATCATGGTTCAAAGTCAACCTGGGCAAGAAAGTCTGTGAAACTCTAATCTCCAATAAACCACCAGAAAACCAGAAGTGGCACTGTGGCTCAAGTGGTAGAGCACTCGCCTTGAGCTGAAGAGCTGAGGGACAGCGCCCAGGCCCAGAGTTCAAGTCCCACGACTGACAAAAAAAAAAAAAACAAACAAACAAGGAGGATGTCTGCCTCTCAGAGACAGCAGGGAAGCCACATGGCTAGGAGGGAAGAACAGGAACTCGGTAGGTGAGTGGGAAGGGACCATTGCTGCAGATTGGGGTGGCACGTTGTAAGGCTTTTAGTGGAGACTATGTCAGGGAAATGAGCAGAGAAATGACATGGCCTACTATCTTAATAGCATCACCAGATGGCTATGTTGTCAGTTTCCTGCAGAGCATTGGGAAAAGCAGTCATGGGCAGCAGTGAGAAGGCCAGAACAGCAGGAGACAATCACACACCGGATATGCTTTCCAGAAGCCAAACAAAATCTTTGTCATTTGCATATGTGTGTGTGTGCATGTGTGTGTGTGTGTGTGTGTGTGTGTGCGTGTGTGTGCATGCACACACACGCACACACCGCCAGTACTGAGGCTTGAACCCAAAGCCTGAGTACTATCCCTTAGCTTTTTGGTTAAGGCTGGTGGTGCTCTGCCACCGAAGCCACAGCACCACTTCTGGCTTTTTGCTGGTTCCTTGGAGATAAAAGTCTAATGGATTTCCTTGTCCCAGCTGGCTTTGAATTGTAAGATCTCAGCCTCCTGACTAGCTAGGAATATAGTCATGAACCACTGGCACCCAGTCTCCTGACATTTAACATGGAATGTGTAAAAGAAAAGGAAAGTCCAGGATGCTTCTAAAGTGTTTGGCCTTTAGCCTCTGAAAAGAGAGGCTTCCCTTCACAGAAATGGAAAGGGACTGTTGCTTCCAAAACTACTCAAAGCCAACTTTGTGGTTGCAGATCATGGCTAAGCTGGCCTCCACCCCTATCATCATGGGCCAGATCACCTCTTCTCTGCCCCATGAGATAGCCATCTTCCTTCCTAGTCCAAAGAACTCACAGCACTAGAGAGTGTGGGGAGGAGGCAGCCAGCTCCCTCCTATATCTGCAAGCTTCCTCTCTCCTTCCCTTAAAGTCTGAAGAAAGAGCAAAGCTAGACACACACACACACACCATGAAACCCAAGGGCATCTGGCATCTCAAGAGATGAGATGAGGCTGGGAAAGCAAGATGTTATATGATAAGGTACCATCTTGACCAGTCTGATTTGCTGCCCCCAACAAGATAACATACAGATGTGAGGAACAACTAAGAACCATCTAACCTGGGCCTGGGACGCTGAACATAAAAATCACAGAAGTAATGTCCCAGACAGCAGGAGACATGCGACCTCTGAGTCTCCTGCGTCTAGCGCTGGTACCGGTCTAACCAGCTGCGATAGCTCCCATTTGACTGCTGATAGCTATAGGAATTTGGAGCTCCCTCTGAAGACCAGATATATTAGTTCCATGTTTCAGAGTAGGAAGCTGAGACTCAGGTTAAACATGTCGCTGAATGTTTTCCAGACTGAGCCAAGATCTGAACGTTCTCACCCCAAAGCCATTGTTTTGGAGTGAGGTAAATGAGGCATTTAGGTGCAAAATTTAAGGAAGCACCTCTCCCTAGGGCCATTATGTATACTGGCAGGAACCTGAGAGTCAGTACTTCCTTAAATGTTCACCCAAGACACTACTTCCTCTCCTCCCCTGGTCCTGGAAGACTTTATAGATGGTGGTTTGGCTTATAAATCCCGAGACTGCTTGAAATGTGGAAGAGGCAGATGTGGAGGCCTGATGCACAGCTAGTTCCACATGTCAGGTGAACGTTCTGAAGGACACACCTGTTTCCAGGATAGGCTGTCAGAGGAATCACACATGAACAGTAATGAATCATGCTTGTCAGGAATGACAATGACTAGTTGACCCCTCCAGGCATTCTTCACACAACAGGAGCCCTGCACAGGTGGTAAGGCACCACCAGCCTGTGCCAGCTAATTAGGTTAGCTTTGCTCTGCTGCTGTGAATTTCAGGCAGAGCAGCCCCGAAGGCCAGAAGGGCTACATTTGACCTTCAGGCTGCCTGCTGGTCCACCAGCCCCTAGAGTTCTAGCTGCTTGGGAGTTCTCTGTTGCAGAACAACTCATGGGCCATTTTTATTTTCCTATGTCCTGTGAGAGGAACTGAGCTTCTCAAATTGTGGGCAAAGCACCATGCACACACACACACACACACACACCTGCGGAATTTCTATCACAAAGGAGTTGCACTTGCACACACACACACACACACACACACACACACACCCCTGCGGAATTTCTATCACAAAGGAGTTTGTCATGAATCAATGAGCAGCTTTTAGTCCTGCATTCACTATAGCGCTCAAATAATTTTCCATGATTAATGTCTGTACATACCCAGGGCAGGAAAATAAATTGTGGCTCATTATTTCTAGTGGTATTCTTCATTAAAGAAAAAAAGAGAATTGATTACTGATCTTTGGTTGGAAGTCTTTCTCAATGAGGCAGGGAATTAAGTTGGTAGATCAAAAAGAAAAATGTATCTTCTCCAGCCTGCTTAAACTTTCTTATTTCAGAAAGCCTACAAAAGCTAACACCAAGGCTTCAATTCTTTATGTGTTGGTCCTGGGGCTTGAACCCAGGTCCTTACGCTCTTGTTTGGCTTTCTCTGTCAAGTCTCAGCCACACATCCATTTCCAGCCTTTTTGCTGGTCAATTGGAGATAAGAGTCTCACAGGCTTTCCTGCCCAGGCTGGCTTCAAATTGTGATCCTCAGATCTCATCCTCTGGAGTAGCTAGGATTACAGGAATAAGCCCCCAACACCTGGCTATCCAACTCCTCCATACAAGCAATAGTTGATCTGACAACCAGACCAGGAGACAAACACCTAGAGCATAAATTACAGAGTTTAAGGAAAGCAACAAAAATCTTAGGTGAGAGCCTCCATCAGTGGAGTGAGTAGTAGCCCCTAATAGAGAAAGATGAAGCTAATCACAGCACCCTTGCCATACCTTGAGAGCTCAGTACACGTTTGCCTCATTGAGTGCTTTAAATGCCCCTGTAATACAGGGGCATCCATCCCAATTCTACAGGGAGGAGTTACCCACCGCCCCATAGCTACAGCGGGGCAGAATTAGAATGATTTCACGTCTAATTCTACTGCCTCTCCTCCTACACTCTGCTGCCTGCTCAGGACACAACCTGCTGCAGGTAGACCCAACCCTTTCTCTTGCTTAGTTAAATCCAAATGCTTACTTTTCCTGAAGTCTTGATTCCTTTAGCCAGGGATGCGTACACAATTACCCAAGCCAGGAAAAGGCAGAAGGCTAGCGGCCACCTGATCTCACCAGGATATTCGATCCCAGCAGAAATCTTCAGCACAAAGTACCTAAAAAATCAGAAAGAGGAGAGGGAAAGGAGGGCCAAAAAGAAGAAGAAGAAGAAGAAGAAGAGAGGGAGATGGTGGTCTGCAGGCTTTAATCCCTTAGCACAGCCGGGAGCCTTGAGCACATCCACCACCTCCCACACTGTCCTCATCAGGGGCCTCATCAGATCGAGTTAGAATGGATTGGCAGGTCTGGGCTCTCACTCACAGCTGTCTATAGAGACATCCACTCCTCTTAATTATGTGCTGAGGGGCTACACTAGGCCCTCAATAGGACTCTGTGCGAGATGGTCAGCACACCATCATCTGAAATTGCTTTACAGAAGTGTAATCAAAATTCTAAACTGCTGAGCATGGTGCTTCATGCTTGCAATCCCAACTCTCTAGAGGTTGTCTCGGGAGGATCGAAAGTTGGAAGATAAACCTGAGCTACATGGGGAGACCCTGTACAAAAAAAAGAAAAAGGAAAGAAGAGAGAGAAAAAGAGAGGGTGGGAAGGAGGGAAGGATGCTGGGAGGGAGATAGGAAGGACAAAGGAAGGAAGGAAGGAAGGAAAGAAGGCAGGAAGGCAGGCAGGCAGGCAGGAAGGATTCTAATCTGTCAAGGGTGATTTCTGTATGCTTTCTGCATTGCTCTACTCTTAGGAACATGTATTCCAATAGGATTTATATACTTGTACTATGTAGTGGAAACTGCTTCTGCTAAAAGACTGCTTTGTGTTTCAGTTCAGGTTGCCTTGGACATAGGTTGAGTCTGAAGCTTGCTGAAATGTAAAAGTGGGGCTGGCCAGACCTAACTCAGGGCTCAGATTCCACACAGATAAGCAGCTGTTCACAGAAGGGATTTCTGGTTATCCGTTGCTGCTGCTGCTGCTGCTGCTGGCAACCCATGTTACCCCATGCAGACATCATCTGACTGACTGACCCTTGGAGCTCCTAGGCTCGAGAGTTGAGTAAGAACCAACCAAAGAGAGTAGGAGAACAGCTATGTGGTAAAGCTCTTGCTCTTGCATAGCAGGTTAGAGGCCCTAGATTTGCTCCTCAGTCCTGGGGGTGGGGGGGAAGGAGGAGCGAGGGAGGGAGAGATGGGGATTGACAAAAAGTAGAACTTGGCTGCAAGACAAAACTTGGGGGACCGTATTTCACTTCCCCATGCTCCCATCCTTCAAATGTGTGAAACATGTGGACAATCACTTAGCACCTTGATCATCTCAACTACTCTTAAAGAACTTGGAACAGTCCCCAAACATTCTTGCTATCATTTTTCCCCCTGAAGATTGGCCCCGGAGATTAGTAAAGACCACCGAAAGCAGGTTTGCCTTTCTGCTACCCTGAACTTCACAAAAAGGTGTGGTCAGATTTTGCCCAGTACCACCAGGGCACACTCAGTTTCTTATTGATCAGGGTAAAGGTAAAGCCCACTCACACTCTCCCCAGGATACCTCATCTTTAAAAGGGAAAAAAAAAGAAAGATTATTTAATAATTCAGCTTTGCTTTGCTTTCACCCTGCAGGGTTCAGCCTTGTACTTCTGCCTACATGCAGGAGAGAAAAGCTGCATAGCAATGAATGGAATTAATACTGAGATATCAGGGACTAATTCTTATTATCTAAGTCAAGGCCATTTGTGTTTTACTTGGCACCATTGCTTTGTGGGAATTATATTGATACCATTTTAAATGGGCACCACTGGCTCCTGCCTATAATCCTCGCTACTCAGGAGGCTGAGATCTGAGAATTGTGGTGGGTTCAAAGCCAGCCAGGGCAGAAAAGTCTCCATGAGACTCTTATCTCCTGAAAAACCGGAAGTAAAGCTTTAGCTCAAAGTGGTAGAGCGATAGCCTTGAGCCAAAGAGCTCAGGGACAGCACCCAGGCCCTGAGTTCAAGCCCCACAACAGACTAAAACAAAATAAAATAAAATGGGTGGCCTGTCGTGGGTGTGAGTTGACTTTGTTTTTAATCCGCATGATAAATTATAGAAGCAATGATTTTTGTTACCACCAGCCATCACTAGATCAACACTCACCTCCAGGCCCACAGTGCACAGTGTTCCTTTGGAAGACAACCCAGCAAAGTCTTCCTCTCTAATCATTACAGTACATGCAGAGGATGCAGAGGGCAGGGACCCATTCCCCCGACCCCAGGAGTCACAGTTCAATCTGTCAATTTGATGCTTGCTAATTCTCTGGGCTGCTCTAAGAAAGTCTGACCCCACCCCCAAAGACCAGCCATCTTACTTGAAGTATTCTTCGCTCCCACTGACAAACGTCTTATTGGCCTGGCTGGTGAAGTTCACCATTGTCAAGTTGGGATAGGCAGTCATGCAGAAAGTTGAATTCTTGATCTGGATTTTGGGGTGATCAGTGATGACACAGGAATCTGTTCAGGAGAGCATGAGATAGAAACAATGAAATCTGTGCAGATGCCATATGCCTGCGTCTACCCATTGAAAACCAAAAACATCCACCCAGTATTTGGAAGTAGCTCTGGAAGCATATGAATTGAATAACATATACAAGGACCACAGAATGACGCTGTATTGATTATGGGGCCTGGTGACCACTGTGGCACCCTGTACTGATAACACAGACTCACATTTATGGAGTATTCTCCGTGTGAAGGACTAATCACTTTGTAAAATTACCTCATTTAATCTTGACAACAACCTAAGCACAGGCTAAGAATGTGGCTTAGTGGTAGAATGCTTGCTTAGCATTTATGAGGCCTTGGGTTCGATTCCTTGGTCCATATAAACAAAAAAATAAATAAAATTAATTTTAAAAAACAAGCAAGGGGTAGTATCTCTATTGCTTAAATAACGAAACAAAGAGGTTAAGTAGATCTATTGTAGTAGTGAGGAAGAGAATCAGAGTTGAATCCTAGATTTGTATTACATTATAGAAGACAAATGAACTATAGAAATTAATTTAATCAAAGATAATGAAGCATCGTGAATGGCTACTGCTATACAAGGTTCATTCCAATTTACCTTGGGACTGGGGAGTGGCCCAAATGGTGGTGCTCCTGCCTACAAAACACAAGGCCTGGGCACTGGTGGCTCATGCCTAGAATCCTAGCCACTCAAGAGACTGAGATCTGAGAATTAAGGTTCAAAGCCAGATCAATCTGAGACATTCTCATCTCCAATTAACCACCAAAGAGCTAAAGGTGGAGGCATGGCTTGGGGATTAGAGCACCTACCTTTGAGTGAAAATGCCAAGCAAGAGCTGAGTTTAAACCCCAGTACCATCAAGTTCACTTTGGGCCCACGGCCCAGTACCACAACTGACACACAGTAAGTACTCTGTGATACACCTGCTGTGTACTCCCTAACTTCACTTGGGTCAGTGGATCCAGCAGCCACACTGTGTGCTGTTAATCTAACCTCCTGTTTGTCAGTGAATTGCAGGACCACGGGCCATTTGATGAGGTGTGGAGGCATCTTTCATGCTCACACTTGGGAGGCTGAGTGCTCCTGAGGGAGGGACATTACTAAGTACCCCAGAGACACAGATCAGCCCCCTACAACAAAGTTATCAGTCCCAAATGTTAACAGTGGTGAGGTTAAGAAGACCTGGGATAAGAAGAGAAAAGCAACTCGGTATGTGGTAGTGCATCAAGCACTATGCTGGACCTTTAAAACAATTACTAGCTCATAAAGTCTTCATCAAGGCCTAGAAGAATACATTATCTTCACTTGAAGTAGGAATAAGTTGAAGTCTTTCTGGTCATAGTACAGTGTCTTTCTAACAGCATTAAAGTACAAATAGACGGACAGATACTTTAATACAGAATCTATCAGAACTAAAAGGAATGTTTTATAAAGGCGTAAGTGAGGAATGAGAGCTGACAAGCTGGAAGACACTATAACCGGGGCACCACCAGGCATTGACCTCTATGAGGCTGGCATTGGGATTATCTGTGTTCCAGAGAAAGAAAAGTGCAACAGAGAGAGATGCAGTGTCTTCCCAAGGTCATACACACATAAAGCTAGCACAATCATAAACTGGCTCTCTTTGGAGTCCTTGCTCTTAACTATACGATGCTGAAATACAGAGCAAGGATCATGAACTCCAACACCAAAAGATTCCAGGATGGAGACACAAAAGGAGACAGAGGAGAACAGAGTGAGAAGAGACCACTACTTTGCTTTTCCAGCTGTTCTGACAGGAGATGCCAAAAATGCGACTATTTATATGAAATTTCTTTTTGTAAATCATAGAAATATAATAAGATTGTTTTAAATATCATGAATTCTTTTTTAAAAAGCATATGCAAACTGGGTGCTGGTGGTACACACCTGTAATCCTAGCTACTCAGAAGACTGAAATCTAAGGATTGTAGTTTGAAGCCAGCCCAGGTTTAAAACTACAAATCTAAGTGACTCTCATCTCCAATTAACCAGCAAAAAGCTGGAAGTATAACTGTGGCTCAATTGGTAGAGTGCCAGCCTTGAATGAAAAATCCAAGCAAGAAAGCAAGGTCTTGAGTTCAAATCCCAGTACTGGCACACATAGTGGATGTCTGGTGTATGTGCTCCCAATTTACACCCAATAGAGGTGGGCAAGGCTCTGAGTTCAGTATTTTACTAGTTATGACAGCTCAAAGGAGTTTCTTTTTCTGTCCAAGCCAGCATTCCCTCATAATAGTTGTGGCTAGTTTATAGCACCGTTGCAATGATTAAATTAAATGAGACTGGCAATTTCAAAATTTCACAAAATACTAGGAGGCTGAGATCTGAGGATCACTGTCCAAAACCAGCCTGGGCAAGAAAGTCTGTGAGACCCTTATCTCCAGTAAACTACTACAAAAGCCAGAAGTGGAGCTGTGGCTCAAGTGGTAGAGCACCAGCCTTGTGAAGAAGCTCAGGGACAGCTCCCAGACTGTGAATTCAAGCCCCAGGACAAGTACAAAAAAAAATTCAGGATGCCTGGCACCTGATTTACACTCAAATTTTATTCTAATTCAATCATCCTTATTCATTATGCCTTTTCATTGAGTGAACATATCTAGTGTACCACATTCTCCCCTCATCTAAAAATAAACTCCATTGCCCTGCTGGGAATTACCTACGGCAACAACTCATCCCCTACTATGTCTGGTAAACATTAAAACAATTCTGAGAATCCCTTCCCTTTGGTTTAGCTCTTCAATCTAATATTTCTCCTTACTAGAGACATTTGGGGTCAGATAATTCTTTTGGCATGGGAAGCTGCCCTGAATACTTCAAGACATTGAGCAGCAGGTCTGACCTCTGCTCCCTAAATTCCAGGGGCAGACATGCCCTCTCCCCCAAAGCAAAACACAAACATGTCTCTGGAATATTGCCAGATGTCTCCTTAAAATCTGACAGTCAGCTGGGCACAGGTGGCTTACACCTGTAATCCTAGCTACTCAGGAGGCTGAGATCTGAGATTCACAGTTTAACTCTTATCTCCAATTAACCACCAGAAAACTGGAAGTAGATTTGTGGCTTAAAGTGGTAGAGAACTATCCTTAAGCAAAGAACAAAGAAACAAAAAACACCTCGTGGATAGCGCCTAGGCCTTGCATTCAAGCCCCATAACCAAAAAAATGAAATAAAATAAAAATCTAACAGCTGAGAGCCAGTGACTCGCTAATCTTAGCTACTCAGAAGCTGAGATCTAAGGATCACAGTTCAAAGCCAACCCAGACAGGAAAGTCCAGGAGTCTCATTTCTAATTAACCACCAAAAAGCCAAAAGCAAAGCTATGGCTCAAATGTTATAGTACTAGCCTTGAACATAAAAGCTCAGGGATGGCACCTAGGCCCTGAGTTCAAGCCCCAGGATTGGCGCACACACATGTAACAATAACAACAACAATAACAAAATGTCTAACAACTTCTGTTTGTAGATGTCTCTGAGTACTTTCCTATTCTATATTATCTTCTTTAACTTAATCAAGTAACTAGTTCTGGATTCCCAGATTAATAGCTAACAAATGTTGAGCAGAACAATCTTTTCCCCCACCAGCAGCGAGCATGAAGGCAGCCAAAGCTCTATCCATATTCCTTTTCAGTAAATAAGCGCAGGAAGTATTTCTCATCCTCCAGCCAGCCATCCCCTAAAACTGAAGAGGTCATCAACAAACGGGTGAATATCAAGTCGCCAACTTCTAAAATTGCCACTGTGGAGCACGCACTCGCGTGTCTTCCCTAGAGACAACCTCTGGATGTCTACGGATCCCTGCCCACTGCAGCAGCACAAGGTCACCTCGTCCTGCCGCAACGGAGGAACTATGCTTTGCTCTCTCCTTGCAGCCTCAAACCTCCTGCAATATCCCTATCTTCCACTGGGGGTCAGGCGCTTGCTTCGCAGCTCCCCCTCCTGTAGGTCTGCCAGAAAAAGAGTGATGGGCCTTCTCAGTGGAGAGCGCTGTGGCCCAGCAACCCCGAACAAAGAACAGCGATAATGATCGTGCTAAATTGGAAAGCTGTTGGAATGGGATTCTCTTTACGCGGGCAATTATTAATAAATGAAAGCACATGAAAGACTAGGGAGAAAAGGAATCATTTAATTAAAGTTCTAATGAAAATTAAGCCATTTCAAGAATAGAAATGGTATTTATGGTGTTCTCATTTGAAGTGACCCAGCTAGCTCCCATTTGCACAAAACAGTTCCTGGTCTCATTGAACAGGGCACAGATTACTCATTCTCCACAAAGGATACCTCGAGGGTTGCCTTAAAGAAGGAGCTTCGCCTGTGAACAGCACCTGAGAAAATTCACGGCAAAGTCTACTTCTCCACATGGGAGAACTCAGGTCTCTCCTCTGGAGCATCCCCAGGCATCTCCACCGTGAAACATGGTCCCCAGGTAGTATGCTCCAGCAGCACTGAGAGGGAGGTATGGGGCAAACATCTACCCACTGCCACAGAAGGTCACATGGCAGCCGTTTATCCCTTGTCTCCCTGGATGTCCCTTGGTCCAGCTGTCCCAAGTGGTGGCTAGTCATGAGCTTCATAGGGAAAGAGTGTGCCCCGAAGGTCAGCTGAAGGACACTGGTGGGAAAGCAGGTTTTTCATTTCCTTATCAGTATGTCCATTTGGGAAATGGTTTGAGAATATCTGTTGTCTGGACTCCCAATTGTCCAGCAAAGCGGAGACTATAAAGCTACCTGGATCTGTGCAGCTCACCCAAGTGCTGATAACACAGAGAATGATAGATGGAGGGGCTGCATGAAGAAAGAGAGGCGGTTGACACCTCATTTAAAACAACAATAACAGAAACAAAATTAAAGCCCTGACTTAAGAATTAGATAGGATTTACCCATCCTGTGCACGAGCTCTCAGGGAATAATCGTAGTGAAAAATGTTCATTGTCCCTTTGTGCTCAGAGCTTTATGGTTTTCAGGGTTTGCACCAGTGGACTAGAAGCTTAGCCGTGTCCGTCTTTACTCTGCTTTCCATATTTCCTGTAAACCAAACTGCAAACACCATGAAACCATAGCAGGGCAGAGTTCCTCTTGGACCATAATCCACTGGGTTGGCTGGTCCAGCCAATATGCTCAACTTGCTTTAAAAAAAAGTAATACACATATTCAATAAATTCATGTCCATGATAAAAAATGTAGAAAAGAATTATCCCGATTATATTTTTGTTAATATTCTGAGCATAACCTTTCTGTTTTTGTTTTCTCCTTCTCTCCTTCTCTCTCCTCTCTTTATACACATACATAAATTCATCTGTATTACTGTTATAGTAAAGATAAAATTATACTATACATCTTCATCTTGGTCTAACATGTAATGTAATATAGTAAGGCTTTTCCTATGTTCTATGAAGTCTTTTCTTTTTTTTTTTTTTTTTTTTTTTAATCATGGGTCCTGAACTCTGGGCCTGGGCGCTGTCCCTCAGCTCTTCAGCTCAAGGCTAGCCTTCTATCACTTGAGCCACAGCACCACTTCTGGCTTTTTCTGCTTATGTGGTGCTGAGGAATTGAAGCCAGGGCCTCATGCATGCAAGGCAAGCACTCTACCACTGAGCCACCTTCCCAGCCCTAAGTCATTTTTAATGAGTACAGAATGCTTTATCCTATGGATGAACTGTAGATTATTGTGAGCTATGGAATTAGTAGATCATTATGTGTATTTTGTCACACGTTTAAGTGTGCTGTTTTCTAATGCTGAAAGTATGGCTAACAGTTAATAGTCTTCTTTTTTTTTGGTGGGGGGGGGCCGGTTATGGGGCCTGAACGATATCCCTCAGCACGTCAGCTCAAGGCTAGCACTCTACCACTTGAGCCACAGTGCCACTTCTGGCTTTTTTTTTCTGTTTATGTGGTGCTGAGGAATCGAACCCAGGGCCTCATGCATTCAAGGCAAGCGCTCTACCACTGAGCCACCTTCCCAGCCCCAGTTAACAGTCTTATATAGTACTTACCTGTCTCTAGTTTCTCCCTTAAGATAGATTCCCAGAAGCAGAATTGCTAAGTTAAACTGCTATTTACACAAAGTTCCAACATATCTCATAGAACTTCAACCACAAACATCACTTAGGAAACACACCAAATTATATCACTTTGCTCGGACTTATACTATAGAAATTCTGGGCTAAAGATTCTTTGAGAACCCTGGATAAGCAAAGAATCTTGGGTCATGAGACCAAGTTCCAGGGCTGGTCTGTCCTAATACAATTTGAGCCTAAGAGTCTATTCAGTTGTCTTCAAAATAGTGGCCATGCCATTTGGACCAATTCATGGGGCTCCTATCAGGAATAACAGAAATACCACTCATGAAGCTGCTTTGTAGACTGGAAAGCATTTAGCATAGTGGTTAAGAGCACGGCCTTCTGCAAGGCAGGCAAACTTGGGTTAAGAAACCTGGGTCTACCAGACAACTAACTCTGCCCTTGGTCTCAAATTATTTTTTGTTCACCTGTAAAATGAAAGCAACAAAGGAACTCATGTCAATTTGTTGTCCATCTTATTGTCGATAGTAAAAGTGTTTAACAATCATGGCGTGTAATAAGTGCTGATAGTTACTAAGATTCAAGATGCTGCACACGGATGAGTAGAGGACAGTGGTATTTCTGAACTTCTGTCCTGGCTGGAGGACAGCAGCAGAGCACGATGTCTATGACTCATGTGTACCCTGCGGCAAGTCCCCACAACGCATCCCCCGAATGCTGAATCACGAACAGCAAATTCTCTCTTGGAAAGTGACTTCTCTTCCAGACACAATCTGGAAAGGAACAGTAGCATGCTGGGATGGCCTATGACCGTGATGTATTTCTCCACTCCAGACCCCCTCCTTGCAAAATGCACTTTGCTTAACATGATAGCCATTTTCAGGAAGCTATTCTGCCAGCAGATGGTTGGTTGTGACTCTGACCAGGGTTACCAAGCAGGATGCTCCAAAACCATAGCTCTTTAGAGGGCTCTTTGTAGAGTCAAAGAAGATGGACCACTCTATACCAAAACTGGGTAAGGAAGTCCAATTAAGGACTGAGGAAGAACTTAGTAGTAGGGCCTGTGCTTAGCATACACAAGGCCCTGAGTTAAGTCCTAGAAAGCAATAAACAAAAATAAAAGGAAGTAAACAACCTCATGGTTCTACCCTCTTAGTTGTGCCTGGAAAATTTGACATAGAGTCCTTGCCTCCATTCCCAGGTAGTATGATTTTTTTTTAATCAGTTTGGGGTAGCACCTAATTATGTTCAACTTTGTAGCCCGATACCCCATGATTATGATATGCAGCATCTAGGTTTAAGAAGCACTGTTCTAACCTAAAAAACCATCAACAGGGAAATTGTCATAGGATACTGAGATCCTGGAAGGTTGAGGGACACATCAGTCCTGATGATATAACTAAAGAACTGCACCCATATGATTCCAGGTGCACTGCTCAAATTTAATGGTAAGTAGTTCTCCTTCAGTCTGACATGATAGGAAGGCACATGCACATATGTGTAAAGGTTAGCACAATGAGAATGACTGTCTTTAAGTGTATGTATCTCTCTTGGGCTTGTAGGAGGGAAGAATTATCTTTTGCTGTTAACATATTCAAAGAGTCAAATAATGCCCTAGTTGGACAATCAGACAATAGGGGAAAGAGGTCTTTAGGGAGGCCAGCAGTAAGAGCCAATTATGGGGAGAACTCAGCCACTTGTCTCAGGGAAAGCAGAGACCTCTTGCCCTGGGCTGGGAAGGTGGTTCAGTGGTAGAGTGCTTGTCTTGCATGCATGAGACCCTGGGTTCAATTCCTCAGCACCACATAAGCAGAAAAAGTCCGAAGTGGTGCTGTGGCTCAAGTGGTAGAGTGCTAGCTTTGAGCTGAAGGGCTGACAGTGCCCAGACCCAAAGTAACTGATACTAGCATCATCTGTGTATAGAGTTTAAAATTTTTTCAGCTGCTATCATTTCCCTTCTGCCTTTTCTCAGTAGAGCAGACCATAAGGGAAGTGGGGTACAGAATATTATTACTTTGGTTTCTCCTATAAGGAGAATCAGGTTCCAGAGAAAAGTTTTCTGATCCAGTTAGCAGCGGAAATGGCTTCTAGATGAGAGAGCCTTTCCTATATATTTGCCCTATTCCTCATCATGTTCTCTCCTATCCTCCACCCATGAGTCTTGGTTTCCCCATAGTCCTCAAGTCCCAGGGTATGTCACCAAGTCTCAGTGGATGTCACACTGGAAAAGATCTTTTAGGAACATACCCTAACTTGCCAGCAAACATGCTTCCCCTCCAGGCCCTATACGATACACATTCCTAACAAAGACCTAGGCCTAAATGTCTACACTCAGGTTTATCTTGCACTGAGTAGTACTTCACGAAATGTGACCCCTGGGACTACTTGTATCTCTCTCCTAGAAGGATTGCTTGTTTGAATCGAACCATGCAGGATCCGGGCAAAAAGCAGCTTCTTATTCAGGAAGGCTAGTGAGGGACTTCTAACCACCTCCCAAGCTGGTCTGTTAGTCTGTCACTGTGAAACAAAATAACATCCTAGCTAGCTTTGTAAACCTGTAAATTTCACAGGTGGCTCACACCTATAAATCCTAGCTACTCAGGAGGCTGAAATCTGAGGATTGTGGTTCAAAGCCAGTCGGAAGAGGAAAGTTCATGAGACTCTTATCTCCAATTAACCACCAGAAAACTGGAAGTGATTCTGTGGCTTTAGGTGGTAGAGCACATGCCCAGCACTGAGCCCCTGAGTTCAAGACAGGTGACCAACAAAACAAAAAACCTTCAAATACTCGGGCTCCACCCAACCTAAAAGAGCTGAATCCATCCTCATCCTATGTAAGAGAGGTGACTCTGCATTTTTAAGAAACACTCCAACTATTTGTGAGCAAACAAAACTTTGATTATGAGCTTATCATTCTTACATGGATTATAAGCTTCTTACATGTTTGAATTAAGTATGTTTGGCTGTGTTGCCAGACTTAAGTATAGAGCCCGACATGCATAGTAAGTGCTAGAATAATCCTCGTGAATGACTCACAACAGTCACATTCAAGACATAGCTAAACTTACCTAGTAAAAGTTTGGTTTTATCTTTACATTCTGGCGTGTTCCAAGGGTTGTTGCAGGAGCCCCAGGGTAGCACAGACACAAAGGAGGCAAACAAGTAGAAAAGTGTGTAGCAAATAATCACATTGTAGTATATGGCTATCAGGACAGAGATGATCAGCATTGCAATGCCACAGCCTGCAAAAGCAGAAAATCCAGATCGTCATTCAGAGCCTTTGGGCTCTGGAAATCTCTCAGCCAGTCACAGGGGTGGGAACGTAGGTCTGGACTCTGTTTCGATGGATGTGCTAATATGAAGTAGACTGTAGGTTTACCAGGGATTTTGAGACCTTCTACCAGGAACCTAAGAATGACAGCCATGATTTTGGCCAGTTCTTTAGAAGGACCAAAGAAAGGGAAGGGGAAGTGAGGTCTACGGATCTCAAAAGCAGATCTCCTGGCCAGGGGCAGAGGAAGCTGAAAGACAATGTGGACTCACCTTGGAGAGCTGGGATGGCCTTCCACACAGACACTGGCCCCTGACTGGCAAATTGACCCAGTGAAACCTCTAAGAAGAAGATAGGCAATCCAGCCAGTGCCAGCATCATCAGGTAAGGGATGAGGAAAGCACCTGGGGGAGGAAGAATAGAAAGTGAGGTCTAGGGAGGCAAAGGCAGGTTTCTGGCCCACTTTAACCCTCTGAGCTGGGGGAGGGGGTAGGCTCCTCCTCTATACTCTTAAGGACAATTTACCTCCTTTTCTGATGCTATTGGTGTGCTGATTTGGAGTCTTGCTTCAAGAAGTATGAATGGAAACACGTTTTGGTTTTTGTTATTTCAATTTCCCACCAGACAGGATGCCGGAGGCTTATGTGCTGGTAGGTTTTTATTTCTTATAGCATTTCAATTTCCCCAAATTGAGCCCTTCCAGGATTCACCAAAGCCATGCCTTTGGCCCATTACTGGTGAAATCTCATCAGAACATAGGCCCTCCAAGGACCTTTTTAAAATCTGCTAGGCTACACTATGGGACTCTCTTCTACAGCAACCCAAGTCATCTGTATACTTTCTGCCAACCACAATCAGGCTTGCTATACCCATAGACACCGGAGTCACTCTACCACTAGGATTGAGGTACCAGGTAAGCCTTCTCAGGGTTGGAGACTTCTCTAGGGCTCTTCCATTCAAAGATTCTTCAGCTTATCTGATTTGGGGACAATGCTAACATTTGGAAGAGATGGGTCAGGGTCAAAGAACACTGTGCTTCAGGGAAGAAAGCTGTGGCCCACCCTTTACAGTGAAACTGTTCTGCTCCTAGGTAGTAGGAAGGGCTGAGCTTTCCACACCACCCTCAGGGCTGGCAGGAGGGGCAGGAGAGGGGTCTGGTACTGCAGTGCTCACAAAGCTGCCTCAGGCTGGGGGAGGTGCTCAGAGCTTGCTAGTCCTGAACTTTGAGTGACAGCAGCGATCAAAGCACAGGCACTTTCTAGGGCCAAGCTCACTGGACAGGATCGCCCTCCTCCTCCCCTTGGGGCTGGTCGGGTTTTCCTTTCCCTCCCCGACAAGAGCACTTTCACCCACTCCCAGCACTCTGTCCTGAGAGCTCTGTGCAAAACAGGACGGAAACCTAGCTGGAGTGCCGAAATCTGTGTGGCCAGCACATCATTTTGTTTCCAAAGCACCACTGGTTGCAAAAGCTCTTTAGTCCATAATGAGTATTTGTCAGAGTGTTCTAATTTTGAATGGAAGGGGGTCATCTATTTTCCCATTGTCACCATCCCCTGGTACAGCATCCATTCCTCCCCCTGCTCCAAATTCAGCCTAAGCGAAAGAGGGAAATAAACTAAGGGCGAAGTGACTTGTTTCTTGTCTCTTTGATGCCTTTGAAATGTGGAAGGGAGATTGAGGTGTGAATACTTACTCCCAAAGATGACTGATGAACTTGGGGGAAGGGGACCCCATGGCACACAAGCCAAGGGGCCCTGGACTGCCTTGTGCCCCTTTTCAATGCATACAAAAGAGCTACAATGCATTCTGTGGTTGATGCACCCCTACGGGCATCCTCCCCGTCTTTGAAACAGTTTCCTTCGTTCAAAATCAGCGTCTTTTTTCTTTTTACCCAGTTAGGACAAATGGAAGGAAAATTGGCATTTGTTCAATGAGTTTACTAAAACGAAAATGTGTCCTGCTTTCTCCCAGGAAGGGTGTGTTGGGAAAGGGTGCTTCTGAGAAGCCTGGGAGAATTCCTACACCCGCATCCCCTCTCCCTCCTCCCCCTGGCTGGTCTGTCTCGCATTCCGCGGAATGAGTGTCCATTCTTAGAGTCTCCTTTGTAGAATCATATTCCCAAATTATAACCTAGAATATTCTTAATTGGGGCTTCAAGACCAGGTGACCAGTGGCTGTATAGAGTGGGCGAGTGTGCCCCATTTCCTGAGTACTTGAGTCCAACGACCTTCTGTCATTGTCTACTTGGTTCAGGACCCAACTCCCCAAAGTAAACCAGTGGAGGATTGTTGTGGGGAGGGGAGTCTTATGCCTCCTCTTAACCCCATCTCCAGATAAAAGCCTCCCGGACCTAGTGCCAACCAATTTAGTTCTCTCCTGTCCTCCAGTTTTCCACTCAATCCTACAGAGATGGAGCTAGTGTGCCAGGAAGCTGCCCCAAGGCACCTCCTCTCCCGTGCTACTGTGGGGCTTTGGGTCCTACCCGACTCCCAACCCTCCAATACCCACCCCACCGCCCGAGCCGCAGGCGGAAAGAGCTGAAAAGCCATACCTCCCCCGTTCTGGAAGGCCAGGTAGGGAAACCTCCAGACATTGCCCAGCCCTACTGCATACCCCACCATGGACAGGATGAAGTCCAGTTTGCTGGACCAGTTCCCTCGGGCCTTATTCTCATCCCCTTGCTCGTCCTCCTGGGGGCGGAAAAGCACATTGTTGGATAACAGACCTGGCTAGGTCCAGCAAGCAGGCCACATTCCATCCCTCCCCACCCCCAAGGGAGGGTCCTTCCCAGCAAGCAAGACCCCCACTTTTCAACAAAGGATGCATCGGCAGGCAGGATCCCAATTCTATTAAAAAATAAAAAGATGCACCTATAAGCAGGGGCCTTATCCCTCAACCCTGAATCGGGGAGTCAGCAAGCAGGACTCGATTTTGATGTAAAAATCTCCTAAATTCCTCTTCCCCAAACCCTACCATCAGAGCACACCAGCAAGCAGCTCTCTCCCCAAATCATGAACTTGTACCTTGATTGCAAGCATGTCACTCCATACCCAACCCTCATCAAGAGTTCATTTGACAAGCAGGCTCCCAAGTCATGCCTAGACTTCCCAGCAAGCAGATTCTTAACAGAGTTCCCCACATAAAAAATCCTCACTTGCACCCCTTTTTTCAGCACTTTCTTCCTCTGAAGTGCATACAAAAGCTGAAAAGGAGCCTTGGTGCTTCTTAAAGCCTGCCAGAGCCCCTGCCTCATTTCTCTATCAGAGGAGAACCTGCCTGGTCTGCTAATTTAAAGGAAGCATCCTGCAACCCTAGTGCAAGAGAAATGAGCAAAATGGAGACTTGGAGGTGAAACAGAGAGAGAACAGAGAGAAGGTGGATGTGGTAAGAGACAGGACATTGGACACTCTGAGTGCCATCTTTACTACTAGTCAAATAGATTAACCTCAGGCAAGCCATTTACCCTTTCTGAACTGCCGTGTTCTCATGGGTAAAATAAGGGGCTTAAAATAACTGTCATTTCTCCCCCCCCCCAAAAAAAAGCATGCTGGATTCCAGCAGTCTGTGAATCTTTGGAGCTCACTTCTCCAAGCTCACCCTAAGGTGCTTTCTGGACGCAGCCTCTGGTTCTGGAATGCCTCACTACTAAGCAGAAACAGCTGAGGGACTCAGGGGCACCTGGATGAACTCAGAAAGTCATCAAGAAACCTGGGCTCTAAGCATCTAAGGCCCCAGCACCACTTCCACCCTTTTAGTCACCCTCCAACTCAGACTAACAACTTTGAATGCCTCAACCCTATATGACTGGCCAAGAAGAAGGCTAAACAGCAGCCCTCTAGAGAAGTGGCGTTGGAAAGGGGAGAAGACCTAGGTGAGTGTCAGAAAGCCACAAACAGAAACAGGAAAGGGCCTGGAAAAAAAAGTACTCTAAAGAATGTGCATATCTCTAACATCCTCCCTACATTCCTTCCCTCTACCGACCATCTCCATTCTTAACCCCACCCTTCAATCCTTTCTGAGCTGAAAGGGTGGGAGTTCCAGCTCCTGTGCCGCAGTGCGGAAGTTAAGGAATGAACCCCTGCATTTCACAAATTCTAGTCTGCTCCATGCCCCACTGCACTCCCACCTTCACACACTGCACAACTGCCTAGCCCCAGAGCCCAGGGGAGAGAAGACAGGAAAAAATAAATCCGGATATGGAAAAGAAAGAGCTAGAGTGGTGAAGCAGGACAGAAAAAAGAAGCAATCAAAGAAGGGAGGAAGGAGGCTGGAGAGAAAGAGGGAGATTTGCTTGTATCCCTAACCCTAATGGGAAGAGACTGGACTTTACTTTTATATGCTTCCAAGTGGGGGGTGGTGGAGGCCGGCAGAGGCTTCCACAACTGAAAAGGTCCACAATAAGGGTGGGAAATTCTCCTCCCAAAAACTTATGTTGGCAAAATTAGATAACCTGGTTGCTAACGGACCCAGGTAACAGGCCCAGAGGCTTGAGTTTCAGTAGCTTCAGGTGAAACTGCCTCTCCTGGAGGTCACAGGTGATACAGGGTAGCATCTGGTGTAAAAGCTAGAGAATAGAAATTATTATCCACCTCGGCCACACATGTGGGCTTTTCTGTGCTTCTTTTGTACGATTTTCTTTTTAATTTTTTTTGTATTATTTTAGAAGGAGGCAGAATCATAATGGTCTGCTTAAAGGGTTAGAATCTATTGGCTTCAACTACTGAGAGGATCTACATCCTGATTGCCAATAACTACCAGCCAGGCTGGGAAGGGGCAGTTCGTGCCCCCCCCCACCCCCGTCCCCGGATCTTCCTCTTCCCCCCCCTACCAGCCCACCCCCGGCTGGGCCACTGCAGCCCTCTCACCCTGAACCCCAGCGCAGTGCGAGCTTCCAAAGCCCCCAAAGCTGCGTCCCCAGCATCCATCCCCCCCCCCCCGGGCGCTGCCAACCCGTCTCCCCATCAGCACACGTGCACCCGCCACTGCTCGGCTCGCCTGGCCTCGCGGCTGGAGAGGGAGGAGGCAGGGCGGGCCTGCGGGCCAGCTTACCTGTGTGGCCGAGGTAGCCACGCTGCCTGGAAGCACCGACGCGATTCCATCGGTGCCCAGCACCACGGTGCTCTGGCTCATGTTCACCCAGCCCACGGCCGGGGTATTGTTGTGTTCCAGCGTGCCCTTGCCCACACTCACATTCGCATCCCCCTCCGGGCCGCGTAGAGCTGGGATCTTACAATGCAGCGCGTTGCCAGGCCCCGCGCCCCCGGAAGGGAGGTTGGCCTGCGCGCCGCCGTGCCCTGCGCTTAAGTCCCGGAGGGCCGCCGAGGCCGCCGGCTCCCGCTGGCCACTGAGTTTGCAAAACCCCACTCCTGGCCGGTCTACCTCGCAGGCTCGCGCATCCGAGGGCTGGAAAGTTTGGGCTCCGGTGGAAGCGGACCTGGGCACACGTGGCGGCGGCGGCGCGGCGGCGGTCGCCGCAGAAAGCTCTTGCTCCGGGCTGGTCTGGGGCGCGCACGGGTTATCCCGATGGCCCGGCGCCGCCGCCTCCAGGTTGTTGGCTGGTGGTGTATTCATTTCCTTCGAAGCACTGCAATCCTGCAAATACAACGTCAAGTTCATGCAAGAAAAAAAAAGTCACGATCGGTAGCTGGGGAAAACACTTCTACCTAGGGAGAAGTTCGGAACTCAGCTCCAGACACAATACTCAAGGGATCAGAGGAAATCTGGATATATATATATATATATATATATATTTTCTTTCGGCACTGCAATCAGTAGTCTCAATTTGCCGGTCTTGTCAATAACCAGATGTCATGAAACGGCTATTTTCTCACTCACAGAAGACGAACTAAGAGGCAGTTTTTGTGGGTTTTTTGTTGTTGTTTTTTGATGGAGGGAGACGGTAAGAATAGCCCTACAGCCATGAGCTCCCCACCCTCTTTGGATTTCAAATCACGACTGTGGGGTGTCCGCATCCCCATCACCATTGTAGGAAGATTCTTTAATTTTCCGCCCCATTTCCTTTGTCATTCAACAATGCACATTGCCTTCCCCCCCCCCCTGCCATAGACAAGCTGAGACCACAAAGCTGATGCTCTGGCAAAGGCTTCAGCGGTCCCAATGCTGCAAACCCTCCCGCCCACCAGGTAGCATAGGTAAGGATCAGGATCACAATCAAAATGCCAAACAAACTACAGAAGAAAACCAGAATTAAGACGCAAAGTAGCAAAGCAGTCATTCAGGTTTTTACTGTATGCAACAACCTACATTCACTTCCAGAAATGTGAAAGGATCATGTAAAGAAATTTTGTTCCCCCGCTCCCTTTTCCCGAGAATTTAGTATCTATTATTTCCTTATTTCTGAGGAGGAAAAAAAAACCTTCAAAATCATTTTCACTTGCCTTCTCCAATTGAATGTCAGATGAAAAGAATTACCGGCAATGGGTTTTTCAATCCCCTTTCTCAGTTCCTGTTATCTACCAAGGCTTCCTATACATTTGCACCAATAATTATTATAACCGCTAGGATAATTAGATTCGCTTCGCTTCAACCACACACCTCTCATCTAGCCCTCTGCATAGATCAGAGTTCCGTAATTTGTGCCAAATCTAAGTGCCTCCGGCCAGCCTTCTCAATAACCTCTAGGTTATTGAGAATGGACTCGCCTGTGTACCGGGCTCGGGATTTTCAGCACCAAGGACAGTGCTCTAGAATTCCGTTTCAGGCTAGAGACCGCTCCACTCTGCCTAGAAAACCCTTTTCTGATCTCAAGTGATGCTAATAGTAATAATAATACAACTAGCATACCTACAGTTTCAAAACTTGCCTTTCCTTTGCATCTCATCCAATGTACTGACACTTCTAAAAGAAATATCCGAAATGAAGCTGTTCCCTCATTCCCCAAAAGAACAAAAGCGAACACTCACCATGTCGGACCCAGGCAACAGATTGAACTGAAGAGTGGTACCTGCTACAGACAAGACTGGGTTGGGCCACCGGCAGGAGAGGCTCTTTCTATATCTCCTTGGGAAAGGCCGGGTTTGCGTCAGTGCAAAGCAAGGTGCCCTTCGGTTGACATCTTCTTGATAATACAAGTTTGATAAATCATTACCCCTTTGGATTCGAATTTTAAAGGGACAACAGCCTAGACTATGCTAGCCAGTTGTCGCAGGAGGTGGCTGCGTGTTTGGCGTGACTCATGTGGGTCTGATTACTAAACCAAAGCCGGTGGGAGGGGACGACAAAAGTTCGCCTCCTCCTAATTAAGGGAAACATGGGAGGGACACGTCTCGCTGCGCTCAAGGCAAGATGCAGTAGTCGTCAACCAAGTGGATTGGGCTGTGGAGGTGGGAATGGAAGGGGGGGGCATGAATCACTATCCCGTCTCTTCCACCAAATTCCGTTGATGACTCCCGGAATCTGCCGAAGATTCCAAAACACGATGTGAGAAAGGAATGGAGCCTATGTCTACCAGTCACCCCAGAGCTCCCCAGTGGCTGGTGTGGACTTGTGGCCCTGTGGCCGGTGTGCCACTTCAGATTTTCACAGACAACCACACTCAGAGGATCCCGGGTTTTCATTTAAGGGGAAAAAATGAGATTAGTATTTCAATTCCTATGTTTTATCACTGTTAAAGCTACCACCACCACCACCACCACCCCACGATACTGCTGCATCTAATGGGCTGTTCTCTTGTATTGGGGCAGCTGTTGGTGGTGGTGGAGCTTTTCTGAACACATTCTAGAGAAATAAGAGTCCAACAATCTTCAACACCGACTTACTATTCTCAAGCTACTTTCAAAGGCATCCCATTGTTTATGCATAGCCCTTTTAGTAAAAGTGCACCAGAGCCAGGTCTGATTTTAAAACTTCAGGGTCCTAACCCCCAAATCAAGACCTCTGCGAACCAGGACACAGTTCTGGCCATGTGGAAAGTCACGTTTAGCCGTACTGCAGTCAGGGTTAAAGGTGGCATAAAGTATGATTACAATCATAACACCTTCACACACACACACAGACACACACACACACACACACACACACACACACACACACACACACACACCATGCAGTTTGGAGAAAAGAAGAATTTGCGGTAAAATTCTTCTCTCCTTCATCACTAGTCGGGCTCAGAAACCCCCCTGGCCTGGGGCTGAGAAGCGACAGAAATCATTTTGCCCCTTCCCTGCTGCCCTCAGCCGGCCCCATTGCCTCTGGGTCGGGCGCGGTGGTCGGTGGTCATACTTGGTTGGGCAGTCTCCACCCGGCAGGGAGACAATGCCCAGAGGCTGCAGGGCGCAGGCTGTGGCGGCAGATTGCAGCGGGAGCCGGGGGCACTGCGGATGCCTCTTCCCCGTTCCCTCCCTCTCCCCCCAGATGCGTTAGTGGTGTTGCAGAGCCGGTTCCCCCGCCGGGCCCCTTAAAGGGCAGGCCAGCTGGGGACCCAAGGTCTGCACTATTTAGGGGGGAATGGGATGTAGGTTCCCTCAAGAGACCTTGCTTTCCGTTTCAGGTTGGTTTTGCTGTAGTTTGTCGAGCTAACCTTTCTTTGAGAGCTCAATACGGGAAGCGTCGGGCTGGCAAGATCATGGCGTGAAAATATTGCATTTAACCTTGCAACAACCTTTGAGAAACTATCCTAATGTTAAAGCTGGGTAAACTCAGGCAACAGAAAGTCTCTTTTAACTCTGGAGAAGGTCCTGAGCACCTCCCAACTAGCTCTTGGGGGGGGGGGGCAGCTACCCTTTCTTTGAGGCTAGCTCCAAGGGAAACAGGGAGAAAATGGTAAGGTCCAGTAATGAAGTGGGGCTGGGGCAGGGGGCCTGTGGAGAGGCTGGGCGAGAAGAGAAAGAGTCAGGTAAGGGAGAATCTCGCTGAGATAGGAGCTGAGACCTCCCACCCCCCCTCCAAGAACCTTGGTGTCAGTGTGGAGGGGCAGGGGAAGGCTGAGGGACTCTTCTTCCGAAATAGATCCTAGAAACAGATTCCAATTTGCCACTGGGAGCCAGACGTGAAACTTATAGAGAATAGGCCTGGCATAATGCAGCCCTGAAACTCTCCCCTGATTTGGTGTAGGCCTCTCTCTACTGGCCCTGGGCCGGCTTCTATGAGGGCTAGTCACGACACCAAAAGATTCTGGCTAGTCTCCAAATTTGTATTTGCCCCAAGCATACGCAATGGGAATGGAACGTGTCTCCCAGGGCCAGGACTGGAGGAAGGGAGCTGCGCCTCCCACCTGCCTCCCGCAGTAGCTATGGCCCTGGTGGCCCTGGGCCTGAGTGACTCCCTATGCTCTGCTGCTCCCTCTCTGCTCAGTCCTGACTTGTCACCAGCTGGCCCTCTCAGCACTTGCGTGGGGCCCAGCGCACACACGTCAGGCTCTGCAGTGGCGGTGACGTGCTGGAAAGGCTGCAGAGGCCTTGGTGGAGGCGTTGCTCAGCCTCTCCGCCTCGCCCCCACTTTCAGCCGCAAGATTCTAGAAAGGAGGGGCTGCTTGGAGAGTGGAGGCAGAGTTTTGAGCCTAGAGGCCTAGTGGAGTTGCTCTGAAGCCAACCAGAGTGAAGTGATTCGGCCCTGCTTGGCTAGATGATTTGGGTATCAGGGCGGGAAAGGGCATAGGGGGAGGCTGGGGGTCAAGCTCTGGGCATCCAGTTGTGTACCTGCTCTGCTAAAGCGCAGAGGGTGAATCTGCTGGAGAGGGGGCAGAGGAGAGGAGACATGGAGGGAGGGGAGAGAGGGAGAGAAAGGGGAGAGAGAGACGAGAGGAGACAGAGGCGGGAGAAGAAAGGGCTCCCCATCACCAGGGCCTCTGCTCGCCCTCCCCTGCCCCCTGCCACCGCCTGCTTGGAGTGATAATCCTTCCCCACACACTGCGGCAAGGAGGCTGTAAATCTGCATCCATCACTGCGCAGCCATTCGGTCGGAATTAGCCAGTCACTACGGTCTTAATTACTTTGTCAAAGATGAAAAATAGTAATTGATTTTGTCCTCGATCACTTCGTCCCCCCTCCCTTTCCTTGCAGATAAGCAAATAAATAGCTATTTGTGAAAAACATGTCCATCCAGCTGTATGGAGTAGCCTACAGGGAGGGGGGGGGAGTGGCGGTGGAAGCCATCAGGTAACTGCTCTGATGGCAGTGTTTGTACTAAGTCAACTGGAACCCAGGCAGGAAAGGGCCAAGAGGGCAGCTTTCAGAGCCTTGAGGAAGGAGGAAGGAGAGAAAATAAAAGGTATACAGTGAGCAGCAAGCCCCTACTTTCCTATTAACTAGATGCTTGTGGCACCAGCCTTCTCTGGTCCGCAGGGCAGCATGTAATAAAGGGCTGCCACTACAATTTAATTCTGTAGAAAGGTGAAGAAATTTGCTATCAGTCAGCATGGCTAGCATTTAGCCCAAGTCTGCCTATGTTGATTCCAGTTCACCTATGGGAAAGATGATATGAGTGTGTCTAGGTGATTTTGATACAGGAGTATTAATACCCACAACTTCTACAGATGATGGATGGAAGAGTTGGTGTGAGTTTCAGGCAACATTGCTGATAGTGGAGAAGGCATGCATTTTTTTTAACCCCACTTCTTTCCTTCTGACCAGTTCCATAGCAGTGTTGTTCCCTGAAAATGGTGTGGATTCTGCAGACAAAACTGCACCACCTCTTGGTTCTGTGACCTTGGAGAAAATTGCCAGTCTGTTAAATGAGGATAAGAAGAATTAATTTACCTCAAGGGGGGCTGGAAGTTTAAATTAGAACATGCATGTGTAGTGCCTACAATGAAGGTGGCTACTTGGTATGCTTTCAGGCAAGCTCTGGCTATTATGCAGTCTAGTTGTTTAAAGCCCGGAGATTTAACAAATACAGCAGTTCTCTCTCTATAGTCCACGGACTGTGATATGGATAAACAAGCACAAAAACAGGGCCCTTACAGAGTAGTCACTGTGCACCATTTTCTTCTTGATCTGTGGCTTGCACATTCAGTAGTCAAATATTTACCTTTATTAAAGGAAAATTAGGAAAACATCTGGGAAAGGGGCTGGGATACAGAAGGTGCTGTGAGTCTTGGGGCACTTTCTCTTGCTTTCAAGGTAAACCTAAATGTAGATGACAGAAGAATCAGAGCTTTGTGATCAGCTTCACCATCCAGATCTCCTATACCCCCCAGGTATCAGGGAGACACAAACAGATTGAGGCATGAGGAGCAGGGTTTGAGTATGCTCCTTCACCAGAACATCTCAAAATGGAGGCCATACTTGGAAATCAATAGTTTCGCTAAATAACTCACCTGTGTATCAAATACAGGTCCCAAATCCTGAGACTTAGACAGGCAAGACTCTTGGTTCTGAGTCAGCAGTAGTGAAAATTACCATATCACTGCATTAAAACACAAGACCTTGGATTCCAGAAGAACTCAAGGTCATCTGGAGTACCAGATGCCTGCTTTCCCACAGAGAACACAGAATCCAGGGACCAACCAAGAACACTCAGGTCACTTGGCATATTAGAAACAAAGTCTAGTGTCATCTCTAAAGAAATCAACTCTATTATCCTCCTACTCTTAGAGGATATTTCAAGGAAACAAACCATAGCCACACCAAACTACAGAGCTCTAAACTTTATTATTATCTTGATGATGAAGTGAAAGCCCAGGGGAAAAAGAGGAAAGGAATATTCACATTAGAATACTAGTATATCCATAAGGTGGGATGTCTTGTGTCTGTTAGAATGAATTAGGCGTGTATGAACATTGGACAGATTTTCATGAAGTATCAAGAAAAGTTAGATGCATAGAAGTGTGCGGACTATAGTCTCTCTCTTTTTTTGCAAAATAATAATTTAATTTGTGTGTGTGTGTGTTCCAGTAGAATATGGAAATCCATGTTTTAGGTGGAAATAAAGATTTTTGGAAGGCAAGGAAGGCACTGAGCAGAGTAGAGAGGCAGATGAAGAGCCAAGCCAAAAATAATGGTTATAATCTTATCATATCTATAATTTATGTAAAAAGGGATGTATAAAATCTTTTTAAAAGAAAAATTCAGCAGTAGAATCTACTGCCTTGATGGATGAGAATATTCATGAAACAGGCTACTTTCATTAAGAAGTGTTAACCTTAAATCTATTTTACTGTCTTCTCTGAGGAGAGTTCAGAAAAAATGAATTCAGCTAATTAAAGATCTCATCTACAAACATTTGGCTCAAGC